GGGATTTCCTGGGAGTCTTAGGGTGTTCCAAGGCCCTTTATCCTTCTCACGAGGGACTTTGAGGTTCAGTGGAGGCGAGAAGGAAAACCCCTATTTGTAAAAAAAAAAAAAAAAAAAAAAAAACCTGCTGTTTTGAATTTTCTGCTGTTTTTCTTAGATAGTCTCTTATTCTAAAAAAAATAACTTTGCTTTCTAGCCTGCTTAGCCTGTTTGAATAATGATGAAGATAAACTTGGCTGTATGACCTTGTAGGCCAGAGACTAGATATGCCCATAATTTCAATGCCATGCCAGCTGCATTTTTTAATTGGATAGAACTGTGTTGTTTTCAAGGCCAGCATCAAGATAACCACTAAGTGCACATAGGGCTGGCTCTTTAATAAAAAGGGACGTTCTGCTTGTAGCCTTGCTTAGAATCTGAATTCATTTTCTCTAAGCCCATCGCGCGATGAATAAAGTAAGTCTCTCCAAATTCTCCTCCTGCATTGATTGATTGTTCGGGAACTCTGTAACAGAGGGAATGCCAAAGATGAAGAGATAAAGGCCCAATTGTGGCTCTTTCACAGAAGCTGTGTGACCATGTAGGAATCAGAAGACTCCTGGGGCCAAAGTTGACTTATTTATGAAACGAGGAAGATATGGTCTTGGTGATATTGTGCTTACAATCTTAAAATGCTGTGAATATATTCATCTTTCTTTTCAACATTTCTTGACTCCTTTTGAAACTCAGCTCAATGTTCAAGCAATGTCACAGTCATGTATCCTTTTTTAAAAGTCACTGCGTTTTACTGGCATACATTAGAAATGTGATGGTAACCTTTTCAACTTAATCTGAAGACTCAATTTAGGATAAAAGAACATTGGACTAGAAATCAGGGGACACGCTCTCGATTCATTTCTGCCCTGAGGAGATGAAGGATATTGCTTAAACTCTCTGAGCCTCAGTTCCTCATTTACACATAACACAGCTGGTGTAGCCCTCGGCCATTTGGCTCAGCGGTTAGAGAATCAGCCTGTGAACTGAAAGTCCCAGGTTCGATTCCGGTCAGGGCCACATGCCCAGGTTGTGGGCTCGATCCCCAGTGGGGGGTTTGCGGGAGGTAGCTGATCCATGATTCTCTCTCATTATGGATACCGTATTTTCCGGCATATAAGACGACCCCCTAATTTCACAGTTAAACCATAGGGTTAGGCCTATATTCGCTGTATAAGACTACCCCCCACTTCCGAGGCAACACCAGTTCTTTTTTTTAATAGACCGCCTCTCTGACTCTGGCCAATCTGAGCAGGCTTTTTACTAGAACACAGTGTAGCTACGGGTACAGAACATGTATAATTTGCATGCATAAAAGCCTGCTTGGATTGGCTGAGTTAGAGAGGCGGTCCGAGCAGCCTTGCAGTGATTGGTGCGGGATCAAGTTGGAAAATTCGTTTAGGGGCATATCCAGACGATTTTCGGGATCGAGTTGGAAAATTCGTTTAGCGGCATATCGAGACGTTTTTCAGGATATACGTATAAGACGACCCCCGATTTTTGGTTGACTTTTTTTCATTTCAAAAGTCGTCTTACACACTGGAAAATACGCTATTTCTGTCTCTCCCTCTTCCTTCCTCTCTGAAATCAATAAAAATACATATTTTTTATTTATTTATTTTTTTAATATATTTTATTGATTTTGTACAGAGAGGAAGGGAGAGAGATAGAGAGTTAGAAACATCGATGAGAGTCATCGATCAGCTGCCTCCTGCACACCCCCTACTGGGGATATGCCCGCAACCAAGGTACATGCCCTTGACCGGAATCGAACCTGGGACCTTTCAGTCCCCAAGCCGACGCTCTACCCATTGAGCCAAACCGGTTCCAGCGAAATATATATTTTTTAAAACACATGCAGCTGGTGTAGATTGGGTGAACGGCAAGATCTAGCTTTAATTAAAAAGTCTGTCTCCCCCATTTTTTTTTACTCTTTTCTTTTTGTAATAGAACCATCTGTGCTCTCCCTGGTCATATGGCAGCCCAGTCAGATGCCGCATCTTCCAGCCTCCCTTGCAACTGTGGAATTAAGTGCAGGTCAGTGGGAGGTGAGAAGGGTGATGTATGCACCAGTTCACCCCCAGCCTAAGCACAAGCTGCTTACCTTGGACCTCCTCTATCTCTCTTTCTTATTGTTGGGAAAGCCAACAAACATGACAGTGGCCTTGGGCTCAGAGAGCAGAAGCTGCAGGTTGAGGACTGATAAAGGTGGAAGGTGGCCAGCGGAGTGATCAGAGACCAGAGCTTCCCACCCACATCTGACCACCACCAGCTTGGGACTATTATGAGAAAGAGAAAAATAAATTCCACCTTACTTAACCCTCTGTATTTGGGGGAGTCTTTTGTATCAGCCTAGCCTGTATCCTGCCAATCACAACATTAGGACTTACTTTTACTCCATTGGCACTCGATGGTTTACTGCACAGCCTCTAGAGTGATCATGGAAATGAGCCCTGGTCTGGTTGCTAACCAGCCCCATATCCTCAGTCATATTACCTAGCCATTCCATGCTTTGGTTTGCCAATCTGGGCAGTGATGAAACTTACCTGCTCTGGGATTATTGTGAGAATAATAATAAAAGAGGAGAGAGGAAGTTATTTTTTTTTAGAATAAGAGGCTATCTAAGAAAAACAGCAGAAAATTCAAAACAGCAGTTTTTTTGTTTTTTGTTTGTTTGTTTGTTTGTTTTACAAAATAGGGGTTTTCCTTCTCACCTCCACTGAACCTCAAAGTCCCTTCCGGGCGAGCTTCAGCTAAAGCCAGGGTTGCAAGGGCCGAGCCCCTTGCACGAATTTGGTGCGTAATAATAATAATAATAATAATAATAATAAAGGAACTCAGTGGCCAACTGTTGGGGCAAACCCAATTATTGTTGAATTGTCTCTCTGGGGTGACCGGAACACAGAGGCCTGGCTGGTAAACTTGAGGAGTGGCTATTTCTGCTTTTGAGTTCACGCAGTTTTTTAAAATGGATTTCAGAGAGGAAGATAGAGGGAGAGAGGAATAGAAACATCGATGATGAGTGAGAAGGCCATGCAGCCATTGATTGGCTGCCTCCTGCATGCCCCCCTACTGAGGATCCAGCTGGTAACCCTGGCATGTGCCCTGACCTGGCAAGGAACCGTGACCTCTGGGTTCATAGGCTGATGTCCAACCACAAGGCCCTTCCTTAGAGCCCCTCCTCTTACTGGCCCAGGCAAACGCTCACACAGACGCAGGCCGGCCCTGCCTTCCTGATTTTGCGGCTCCTACCCTGTTCAAATACTCTCTGTGAGTGCCATTAAGATTACTTCCCTGTTCAAATACTCTCTGTGAGTGCCATTAAGATTCCTCTGCACTGGCGTTATTCACAGAAGTATCACGAACACACGCGCGCATAGCTATTGATGAGATTGGCTAACCAAGGAAGCGATCGCTAGTCTTTGTCTTCCAAACGCTAAAACAAGTGATTCCAGATCATTCCAGGTCCCCTGCTGCTGCTGCTGCTGCTGCTGCTGAAACTCGCTGGAAGGCAGCAGGCAGGCCTGTCTGTGTGAGTGTTCGCCTGGGCAGTAAGAGGAGGGACTTTAATGAGAGCCTGTGGAGAGACACCCCTTACCTTTCAGCTCCATCTCCATCCAAATTGGTTTGGGAGATGGTTGGGCTTCAATTCCTCAGGAGCTAATGCCTCAGCTCAATGCCTGTGCAGCCAGGCGCTTGGCAACAGCTCTCCGCTGGCCGGTGTGAGATTTTCATTAGCGTCCTCGCCTCCATCTAGAAATCAGTTCCAAGCCCATTTGCTGGCAGAGGCCCGGTTCTGAGCTATTTCAGTAAAGGAAGGGACAGCAGCCACATGACCTTTGCACTTCCCCGGGCATTTCCACTCCCAGCCCCGGGCGCTGGCCGTTCCTGAGTGCACTGGGCAGCCATCGGGAGGTTCTGAGCAGTAACAAAAGGTGACTGACTTCACGCGGACTGGAGGTGGCAAGATAGAAACAGGATGAAGAGGCCATTGTGGTCGGGGCCAGAGGTGCCCAGATTAAGGGGAGCGTGGAACGCTGATGGAGTGGATGTTGGGTGTGAGAGACAGGGGACTTCAATATATTTTTAGGTCATTTATGTTGTGATAAAATTACATGAAATGTACCATTTTTAAGCATACAATTCTGTGGCGTTGGTTACATTCACATTGTTATGCAACCATTACCACCATTTCTAGAGCTTTTTCATCTTTAAAGGGAATCTGTAGCCCTAACCGGTTTGGCCCAGTGGATAGAATGTGTATGAGTACCTAGTATGTATGAGTACCTACTATGTAGTGAGAACCGACTGTGTATGAGCACCTACTATGCATGAGTTCCAACTAGGTATGAGTATCTGCTATGTATGGGTTTCTACTGTGTATGAGTGCCTACTGTGGTGTATGAGGTGCATCCCCCCTTGATCCTGGGGCAGAATGCTTTCTATGTATAGCTGAATTCTGTGTTCTGTGTTTTCCACCCCAAAGTGTTCTTTCTCAACAAATGAGAGCTTTGAACCCCCCGCTGATTCCCACAGCACTGGGAAGCCCCTAGGGAGCACAGCCTCGGATACCCTTTCTGTTCTCTCACCCCCTTCTTGCTTCCACCCTGCCCCGCTCCCCTGCTCCCTTACTGGTTTCTCCTGGACACAATTTCTTTTATTTGTAATTTATTTTTAAATATATATATCTTATTGTTTTTTTACAGAGAGGAAGGGAGAGGGACAGACAGAAACATCGATGAGAGAGAAACATCGATGAGAGAGAAACATCGACCAGCTGCCTCCTGCACACCCCCTATTGGGGATGTGCCCGCCACCAAGGTACATGCCCTTGACCGGAATCGCTCCATCCCCTGAGCCAAACCGGTTTCGGCTGGACACGATCTCTAATACATCACTTCCACGCCCGCCCCCTTTTGGGGTGCTCCTCTCGGGGTCCCCTGACCGGCCCGCGGCTCCCCCCGCAGGTGATCTACGCGCTGAACACGCGGCAGGACGAGGCGGAGGCCGGCCTGGAGGCGCTGCGGGAGGCCCACCAGGCGGAGCTCCGCCAGGCGGCGGCGGAGGCCGAGGCGCGGCTGCTGCGGGAGCGGGGCGGCGCGGAGGAGGCGGCGCTGCGGCAGCGCGTGCGGGCGCTGGAGGGCGCCCTGGAGCAGGAGGAGGCGCTGCGGCAGCGCGTGCGGGCGCTGGAGGGCGCCCTGGAGCTGCAGCGGCGGCTCACGCAGGAGGCGCTGGCGCAGTCGGCCTCGTGCCGCCTGGAGACCAAGGAGCGGGAGCTGCGCGCCGAGGCTGAGCACGCCGAGCGGGTGCTGTCCCTGTCCAAGGAGATGCTGGAGCTCAAGGCCGACTACGAGCAGCGGCTGCGGCGCCTGGTGAGCCAGGAGGCGCCGCCGCCGCCCCCGTGGGGCCCCGACCCCAAGGCGGAGCCCGGCTCCGGGCCTCCCGAGATGCGGGAGGTGCTGCTGGAGGTGGAGCGGCTGCGGGGCGAGAACCAGCAGCTGAGCAAGGACTACGCCCGCAAGGCCGAGGAGCTGCGGGCCACCTACGAGCGGGAGAACGAGGCCGTGCGGCGGGCCATGCAGCAGTCGGTGAGCGAGGCCCTGTGGCAGTGGCAGGAGAAGGAGACCGACCTGCGCAAGAACTTCCAGGCGCAGGAGGCCGCCCTGCAGGCCCAGGTCCGCAAGCTGGAGGGGGACCTGGAGCACCGGGGCCGCAAGATCAGCGACCTCAAGAAGTACGCCCAGAAGCTGAAGGAAAGGATTCAGGTAGAGCAAGGCCCCTTCCCACCTTCCCGCGGGGGGCCCCTCAGTTTGCACACCTGCTATGTGCCAGGCACGGTGAGAAGTACTCGGCTTCTGCTGAAATGAGCGTTTATCATCTCCACTGAGCCCAGCCACGTGCTTTATTTATTTATTTATTAATATATTTTATTGATTTTTTTTTTTTACAGAGAGGAAGAGAGAGGGATAGAGAGTTAGAAACATCGATGAGAGAGAATCATCCATCAGCTGCCTCCTGCACGCCCCCTACTGGGGATGTGCCTGCAACCAAGGTACATGCCCTTGACCGGAATCGAACCTGGGACCTTGCAGTTCGCAGGCTGACGTTCTATCCCAACCACATGTATTTAGCAAGTATTTATTGAACACCTACTGTGTGCCAGGCCAGGGCTATGGGCAGGAGACACGTGGTGAGCTCACGTTGGCTCCTGATTTCAGCGAGCTTAGACTTCCAGTTTGCAGATGATAAGACAAGACTGAAATTGAGAGCCTCAAGGGCTGGCCTAGCTGGGCACACGGCCTCTACTGAAGTTTTTGAGCTCAGGTCAGCCTAATTGTGAAGACCCTGCTCATTCCAGAACAACTTGCCTATAACCTAAAATCCTTGGGGCTTTGTATTTGTAGGGAGCCAGACCACTAAATCAGTTATGTGAGCCCCACAGACCCCATCCCTACAGTAGCAATGGCTGCTGTTCCTAATATTCCTGGAGCATTTTTTAAAGAATATATTTTATTGATTTTTTTTATAAAGAGGAAGGGAGAAGGTTAGAGAGTTAAAAACATCGATGAGAGAGAAATATCCATCGGCAGCCTCTTGCACACTCCCACTAGGGATGTGCACGTAACCAATGTACATGCCCTTGACCGGAATCGAACCTGGGACCTTTCGGTCCGCAGGCCGATGCTCTATCCACTGAGCCAAACAGGTTTGTGCTCCCTGAGCATTTTTTGCAGTCCCAGGCACTTCATCTCGTTTGACCCTCACTTCAGAAAGGTTAAGTAACTTGCCCAAGGTCACACAGCCAGTCAGAGGGTGAGTAGGGATTTGGTGAGCCCTGGGCCACTGAATTCCAGAGACTAAGGGCTTCCCCATCATTCAGCCCTGATGTTGGTTCTGTGTGCAGAGGGTGTCTCTCCTCAGAACTGTCACCAGAGACATGAGACCATCTGTCTGTTTAGGACCTGGATGTGCAGCTCAAGGAGGCGCGACAGGAGAACTCGGAGTTGAAAAGCACCGCAAAGAAACTTGGGGAGAAGCTGGCCGTGGCCAAGGACAGACTGATACTGCAGGAGTGCCACGTGGCACAGAAAACAGGTGACACCCTACCACGATTTATTTGCAGGGGGAAGGGTGTGGTGCGGAGCGGAGTGGAGTGGAGGGGCAGGGCTGTTTGATCTGTCCCACCTGGTGGGCCAGTCCGGTCCATAGAGGACAGGTGAGCCAGCACCTTGCCTGCTGCAGGCCAGACCTCTAAAAAGTGTGAGTCTAAAGGACCCCTTGCTCCCAAATGTTGCCCCACCAGCCCACCACTGTGCCCGCACCTCTCGGCACACTACACTTAGACAACACTATATACTTTTTGATATTTTTATTAATTGAGCTGATATCTAATAAAGAGGGAATATGTTCATTGACCTTTATGTGGTCACAAATATGGCAGCGCCCATGGCCAATAAGGAGGGAATATGCTAATTGACTGCCCCACCCTCAAAGATGGCAGTGCCCACAGCCACAAGATGATGGCGCCCAGTCCCCACACCTCCCTCCCCCCTGGGGTGGCAGACCTGTGGCAAGGCCAAGCCCATCCCCAAGGCCCAGCCGCTCCGTGTGCCTGCCTCTGGAGTCCCCCAGTCTCCTTAGCCCCCCAGCTGCCCAGGGCTGGCCCGAGGTGTGGGAAAGCCTCGGATGGTGGCTGCCCATCTGCCCAGGGCCGCCCAAGACTCAGGTAACGGAGGCCGGCTGAGACTTGCACTGCCGGCAGTGGCAGCAGCAGAGGTGTGATAGGGTGTTGCCTTCTCCTGATCACCAGGTCACCTCCTGCCCCTGAGGCTCCCGGACTGTGAAAGGGGGCAGGCAGGGCTGAAGGACAACCCCTCTAGTTAGTTAATAACATTTATAAATTTCACTTGTACAACTTACATATATATACTCTAGTGTGTGCTCAACACCTGAAGCCTAGGTTCCTTCTGTCACCATATATTTAGCCCCCTTTTTTCTCTTCATCTTCTTTTCTCCTCTTCATCCTCCCCGAACCCCCTTCTCCTCTGATAACCACAATACACACTACACGTTTAACATAATCTCACACTGTGACCTTGTTAAGTCTTCCCCATAATTCTGGGAGCAGGGTGGTGTCAGCATCACAGGAACTGAGTCTGAGCAAGGGAAAATGTCGAGGCCAAGGCCAGCCAGACTAGTTGGTGATAGAGCTGGTGTTCGTGGCTAAGGATATCTGATTTCTACCCGCCTCCCACGGGGCCCCCTCCCCAAAAAGTTCTCTGATACCTGCAGTGTGACCAGCTTGCCTGGAGAGACAACAAAGGCCCACAGCAGGGGCTCCGCCTGCAGGGGGTATGGAGGACAGTTACAGCTTTGTGTGGCCCAGGCCAGAGGAGGAGGAGGAGGAGTCAGGGAAAGGAAAAATCCTGGAGGCCTGGAAAGGTGCAGAGGAAGAGAGGTCCGAGTGGGAACCAGAGGGTTTAGAGTGTGGTGGTTTCTAATATAGGGAATGAGGAGGAATAGGGGAAGAAAATGAACAGTTTTGGCTATAGTTACTCTTAGTCTTATCCTTTACATATGTACGTATACCCAGGCACATGTTCAATTTTTTTGTAACTTATGGAAAACAGTCACAAAAAGGAAAGATGAGTGGTCTAAGAAGGGAGAGCAGGACAACTATTTGAACTCAGGGTGCTGTTGAGCGAAGATGGCAGTCACCACCTTGACCACGCTTGAGGGTCAGGAGGCCACTGGGCGGGCTTACACGGGGAGTGGTGGGCAGAATTGTTGAGTAGCGGTATGGACACTCAGTGGCAGGAGGCCTCAGACTGCGGTCAAGGCCAAGGGCATTCCAAACGATGTTGAATCTTTTGCTCGCAGATGACATGAAGACAGAGCGAATTCCGGAGAAGGAAGTCTTAGGGAAAGCCAGCGACGTGGACGCCCGCAGTCCCCATCCTCAGCAGGATCAGAACCTTCCCAAGGAGTGTCTGTGTACGAAAGGAGGCACCAATACTCAGGTGTGTGTGACCCGGCGCTGGGGGTGGGGACACGGGGCTTTGCTAGAATCAACGTCAGGTAGACCTCAGTCCCCAGCCACAATGATCTCCCTGGAAGCAGCAGGGGCCAGGGCTCCAGGGGGGGAATGTGGGTCTGGATTCCACCAGCTTCCCACCAACGTCATGGCATTTGGAACTAGGAGACAGAGCATGTAGCAGAATTCTCCAAACTCCTGATCATGGACTGCTGGGAAACTGGAAACTTGCTTAGTGTCCCTCTCTATGTCCCTAGTTCAAAGAAAGCATTCTTTAGGACAGTGGTCGGCAAACAGTCGCTCACGAGCCACATGCAGCTCTTGGGCCCCTTGAGATGTGGCTCTTCCACAAAATACCACGGCCTGGGCGAGTCTGTGCTGAAGAAGTGGCGTTAGAAAGAGTTTAAGTTGAAAAAAATTTGACTCTCCAAAGAAATGTCAATCATTGCACTGTTGATAGTTGGCTCTGTGGACTCATGACTTTGCCCACCACTGCTTTAGGAACCTGTACAGCAGGGGGTGGGGAGCCTTTTCTCTGCCAAGAGCCATTTAGATATTTATAACGTCATGTACAGGCTATACAAAATCATCAGCTTGAGAGGATCCAAGATGGCTGCTCGGGTAGACATCTAGCCATGGCAGCACACAACAATTTCAATGGAATACAACTAAAATGTAGAGTGGACATTGCCCAGAGCTACAGGTAGTTGACTGACTGAAATTTCTACAACAAGAAGGAAAGAGAAAACCAGAAAGAAAATCAGAGGAGCTGAAAAAAAGCCTAAGGTACGGAGACATGCTGCGCGCCTGCCCGCCCGCACGCGCGCACGGAGAGGTCGCAGCCGGAGAGGAGGAGAGGGCGGGGAGCTGCCTTTCCTTCCCTAGCAGGAAGGGAATAAAACCCCCAGCCTGGGCTGAACCCCCGAACCGGCAGCGCTGAGCCCCCCCGAACCCGGCAGCGCTGAGCCCCAGTTATGGGCCAGACCCTGGGGACCCAGGCTCCCGCAGGAGGAGACGGGGCTGTGAGGCAGAAAAACAGGGAAAAGCAGGGCCCCGGGAGTCGCGCGCAATGCGCGCAGAGGACTGAATGTTGACTCTGATGCTGGGTTGCCCTAGCCGGAAGAAACAAGGCCTCCGGCGGCGCTGAGCCTCAGTCCGGACTGCTCCGAACCCCAGTTCTGGGCTAATCCCTGGGGACCCAGGCTCAGGCAGAGGGAGACGGGGCTGTGAGGTGAGGTCTGGGGAGAGCGCGAAAGGCCTGGCCCCCGGGACTCGGGCAAACTGCGCGCAGAGGACAGTCTGTTGACTCTGATGCTGGATTTCTCTAGCGGGAAGGAGAAAAAAAAAAGCTCTAGGCTGGGGGAATGCGGAGGGGAGCGGAAGCCCCTGCCGGACTCCAGCCAACCGGGCACCAGCAAGGAGGCGGGCCACAGGACCCCTGGGGGCGTGGGTGCCCCTGAGCCTTTGACCACTGAGCTCGGGCAATGGAGCCAAGGCCGGGGGCTGCTTCCTGGGCGGCACCATCCCCGGCAACAGGCTGAAGCAGCACAGGAGCCCGCGGAGAACAAAGGGGTGCCACAGGCCAACCTGCTGAGCTCCCAGGACAAGGAGGAAGAAACCAAAGAAGTTCTCAATGTGAAGAAATCAAGTGAGAGCAAAAAATAGTAAAATTACTTAAGAAAGAATACAAAGAAGATCTTGAAAAATCAAAGACTAAGTCAGAACTCAACTCACCAGCCAACATTGCAACATAAATGCGTTTTAAAAAGAAAAAAGAAAAAAAAAAGGACAGAATGTTGGAACAGCGGCGGCCAGGCCTAGAGTGGCCAGGCACAAGGCAGTGGCAGCCAGACCCGGAGCAGCAACGGCCAGGCCCCAGAGCAGCAGCAGCCAGAACCAGAGCATCAACAGCCAGCACTGGAGTAGCCAGACCTGGGGCAGTGGCAGCCAGGCATGAGGCGGAGGCGGCCAAGCCCAGGGTGGCCAGTCCAGGAACACCCAGACCCGGAGTGGCCGGGCCCGGAGAAGCCGGGCCCAGAGCAGCCGGGGTGGGAGCAGCCAGACCCAGAACAGCAGTAGCCAAGCCCAGAGCATCCAGGTCGGGAGTGGCCAGGCTCGGAGCGGCCGGGCCTGGGGCAGCCGGGCCCAGAGCAGCCGTGTCAGGTGCGGCCAGGCCCGGAGCAGCGGCTGCCAGGCTGGGAGCGGCCAGGCCCGGGGGAGCAGGCGGGTCGGGTGCGGCCAGGCCCGGAGCAGCGGCTGCCAGGCTGGGAGCGGCCAGGCCCGGGGGAGCAGGCGGGTCGGGTGCGGCCAGGCCCGGAGCAGCGGCTGCCAGGCTGGGAGCGGCCAGGCCCGGGGGAGCAGGCGGGTCGGGTGCGGCCAGGCCCGGAGCAGCGGCTGCCAGGCTGGGAGCGGCCAGGCCCGGGGGAGCAGGCGGGTCGGGTGCGGCCAGGCCCGGAGCAGCGGCTGCCAGGTGGGAGCGGCCAGGCCCAGAGCAGCAGCAGCCAAGTCCAGAGCAACTAGGTCGGGAGCGGCAGTGACCAGACCCGGAGCAGCTGGTTGTGGAATGAACCAGAGCAACAGAGGCCAGGACCTGAGCAGCCAGGCCCAGAACAGCTCGCTCCTTGCCTGCCCCTGCCCCACGGCTGCTTCTCAGACATGGCTGGAAACTTTCGTGGGAACTTGAGGGTCTGCTGAATCAAGTGATGAAGGCTTAGATCTGGATGTGTTGAGTTAGTTTAGGACTGGGGTGTTGATCTGTGAGTGCCTTGGGTGGGGCCTGGATGAGGCTGGTGGACCTATTGGGAAATGTCTTTTGTGTGAAGTGTATCATTGGGCATGTGGAGGTATTATTGATATGAGAAAATGCTAAGTAACTGATTTACTATCTGAAAAGGGATTTACTATTGGGGAAATTGAGGGAAGAAGAGACTGAACATAAACTGCACCTATGGATGAGGACAATGGGGGATGGGGAGGGGGCAGAGGGTGGGGTGGGAACCTGGTGGAGGGAGGAAGAAATGAGGAACCTTTGTAATAATATGAACAATAAAGATTGATTTAAAAAAAAAAATCATCAGCTTAAAAACTGGCCTGCTGCCTAAACTAGTGTGGTTCAGTGGATAGAGCATCGGTCTGAGGACTGAAAGGTACCAGGTTTAATTCCAGTCAAGGGCATGTACCTTGGTTACGGGCACATCCCCAGTAGGGGATGTGCAAGAGGCAGCTGATCGATGTTTCTCTCTCACTGATGTTTCTAACTCTCTATCCCTTTCTCTTCCTCTCTGTAAATAATCAATAAAATATATTTAATTAAAAAAAAACTGGCCTGCTATATTTGGTCAGACATTTAATTAACTCATCCCCAATGCCTTGGCAGGGCCAGACCCAATGCTTTTGCAGGCCTTCTACAGCCCTTGGGCCAGAGGGTCCCCACCTCTGCTCTATAGTGTGGGCCTGACTGTTTGATCCTGCGACAGCAAACACACGATTATTCCAAAAAGCCCTTTTCCGATGGTGCATCAAATCAAGCCTCTCACACATATCCAATATACAGTCTTGTAAACTTTACTGCGCCTTGTGAAACAGGCGGTAAAACCAGCTCATAAACATGCAAGCCGCATGGAAAGGAAGCGGCGGTCCCCGCTCATCCCCCCGCCTGGCAGGCTTACCGGGCGCTCTTCTTTCAGACGGAGCGAGAGGCGGCTGTGGAGACGGGACACCTGAAGCAGCAGTACGAGCAGGACCTCCGGAAACTCACACGGCAGACGGAGGAGGAGAAGCAGCACCTGAAGGAGCAGCTGGTGCGGCGCTTGGAGGAGCTGGTGAGGACGCACAAGGCGGAGATCAAGTCCGTGCGCTCCTCCGCGGCGGCCGACAGGAAGCGGCTGCAGAGGGTGAGGTCGCGCCCACGGATGCTCTTCCGTTTGCTCCTCTTCTTCTCCTTTCCTTCCTCCCACTTTCCTCCTCTGTTTCCCCTTTCCTTCCTCAGACATCGTCTGAGCTCCTGCTGTGTGCAGGTCTCAGCTAGTCCTCCATCCTGAGGAGGTTCAGGGTCTTTTGGAGGGCATGGGGACACCCATTACCGGGGAACCCCTGCTGTGTCCAATAACGAAGGCAGGGTTGAATCATATCAGGCGTTTATTGAGAGGCCAGCCAACCAAAAAGATAGGGCGCTTACAAGCATCAAACCCTGCCTTCCAGCAAGAGGCGGGGGACAGGATTATAAAGGGGAAGGGGCTGGGGTGAGGAGTGCAGCTACGTGCAGGCCTGGGGGTCCACACATGTCAGCTGTTGTAATTAGTCATCAGGCGATGAGATGATGCCAATGAGATGATGTTTTGACTCCTGGTGGATCGGCCTGACCATGGTTATGAACTCTGCTTGCTGAATTCACAGCTGAGTCAATCGCTTCACACAGGCCTTAGAAAGAAAGCTTTGAGCCCAGCAGTGTGTGGCTCAGCAGTGGAGCATCAACCCAGGAACCAAGAGGTCACCAGTTCGATTCCTGGTCAGGGCACATGCCCAGATTGCAGGCTCGATCCTCAAGGGTGGGTATGCAGGAGGCAGCCAGTCAATGAAACCTCCTCATCATTATGTTTCTCTCTCTCTCCTTCTCCCTCCCTTTCTGAATTGAATTAAAAAAAAATTTTTTTTAAACACAAAGGAAATTTTAAGAAAAACTTAACCCCCTATTCACATATGTATATGTGCTCTAAGATTTAAAATAATATGATTACTTTTCAGACTAACCCGGGTGCTCTATCTACAGATTGTAAGTCTCCCCCTATCACCCCTTATGACCATGGGCCTGGAGCCATTGACATGGGCTAGAATTGTGTCATCTGAGCATTTAACAGGCAAATTCAACTCTACTCAGCAAAAACAGAGAGAAATAACATGAAACAAACACTCAGGCCTGGCCGACAGCCTGGCCTCACATCCCATCCCTGCCACCCTCTCGCCCCGTGACCGGAGCCGTTATTTAACCTGGGCCCCCTCAGAGAGAAATTTTGCCAGCCTCAGCTTCCTCGTGTATAAAACAGGATGAAAATAGCTCCCCACAGAGTATGAGGATTAAATGAGGTGATCCCTGTGGAAAAAGCAAAGCATATGCTCGTGCCTGGGGCTGCACAAGCACTGCGTGGGTGCAGGCACTTCACGGAGGCCTGGCAGTGTGCGAGACTCAGCCTCGGGGTACTGCTCCGATCTCCCAGCAAAGGGGAGGCTTTCTGCTGAGGAGGAACACAGAGCCTCATCTCTCCCATTAGCTGGGAAAGCAAATAACCTTTGTGAATGTTTTAGAAACTGGTAATTATTGTGAACATAGATGGAGCTATAATTACAGTCGTCACCCTAATCCCAAGACCCCCAGTGGATGCCTGAGACCCTATATACACTATGCTTCTTCCTATGCATACATACCAAAGATAAAATTTAATGTATTAAATTAGACCTGGTAGAGATTAACAACAACAATAACTAATAATAAAACAGAACAAGTTAACAATATCTACACTAGTAAAAGAGAAACATGCAAATTGACCATCACTTCATGACGTCCACCAGCCAATCAGGAGTGAGAATGCAAATAAACCAAACAAAGGTGGCATTGGCTCTGCCCCCCAGCCCCTCTGGCCCCTGAATGTGAAGTCTGGGAAGGTAGGGCTGGTGGTCTTGGGTTCTGAGGTGGAAGGAGGGCTCTGAATGTAACAGAGCGGGGGACTTCCCCAACATCTGGAGGAAAATCAGATGCTGGGCAGCCCAAAGGAACGACAACCCTCCACGCCATGGTTCCCCCTTATTGCAATCCTGGAGGCAGAGGTTTTCCTGTGTCAGAGATGAGGAACCTGGGAGATTAGGTAACTTGAGTCATATAGCCTGCCTGACGGCGAAGACACTAAGATTTGTCCTCTGAGGCATAACAGGATACACATGCCCAGGCCTTGGCGAGCTGCCTCCCAGTCCTCACCTACCACTCCTTGCACTGTTCGTTTACCATGTATTGAATGTGAACCTGTGTTTTGAGCAATGCAGAGGTACAGGAATCATGCATGCTTTCAAGGAACTTACCACCTCCCATGCCCTCAAACACAAACTCAAGTTAGTGTGTAAGAAGTGCCGAGACTGGGGAAACAGACTCACTGTCAGACCGTGAAGAAATCACTCCAAACCATTCTAGGTCTCTGCGTTCTACTTTCACTAACAATTATAAATGTGAATAATTTTCTTTAAAAATTTCCCCAACTTTTTATTTCTATCAACTCCAAAAAATACTCTTGGTTGTTTTTAAGTATGTTGCTTAATATTGGGATCTTTTCCTGTTGATTTCTATTTCATTTCCCTTGTGGTCAAAGAATAGGTTCTATAATTTCATACCTTTTCAATTATTCATCTTGTTTATGGCTCAGATATGGTCTGTCCTAATAGGGATGGTCCTTGTGCACTAGGAAAGAATATGGATCTGCTGCTGATTCTATAAGTGCTGATTAGGTTGTGTTGGTTGATAGTCTTGCTCAAGTATTTTATTTCCTCATCAATTTTTCTCTACTTGTTCTGTTGATTACTGAGAAAGGAGTACTGAAATCTCACATTTAAATTATCACACTTTATAGTTCTTCTTAGCTTTTGCTTTATATAAATTCAGACTGATTTATTAAAGATAACTTGAGCTGATTTGGCTCAGTGGGTAGAGTGTCAACCTGTGGACTGAAGGGTCCTGGGTTTGATTCCAGTTAAGGGCACATGCCTAAGTTGCAGGCTCGATCCTCAGTAGGGGGTGTGCAGGAGGCAGTCAATCAATGATTCTCTCTCATCATTGATGTTTCTCTCTCTCTCTCTCCCTCTCCCTTCCTCTCTGAAATCAATAAAAATAAAGATTATTATGTCTTTTGAATGAATGGGCACTTTAATCATTGGTGAAATACTGCTGTGCTGAAGTCTACTTCGATACAAATATAGTCATTCTATTGTTTTTCTCGTCAGTGTGTCATGCATGGTCTGTTTTAATCCTTTTCTTTACTTTTGATCTACCTATGTCTTTCTATTCAAAGAGCTTTGAAGGTATCGCTGGATCTTACTCTTTAATTCCTTTTGGCCTCAGGCTTTTGGAGGTCACTTAGACCATTTACATTTAATGTCATTATCATTGTCTACCGTCTTGCTGTTCATCCTTTCGGTATTTTATGACTCTCATAAGCTTCTTGGAACCCCTTTGGGAATCAGGCAGGGTGACTCCAGCCCATGTGTCTGTGCCTTGTGTGGCTGACTCTCCTCACCACCATTTAGGAAGTAGAAGAACAGTTGGAAGAGGTGAAGAAGAAGTCAGAAAACGAAATAAAGCAGCTAGAGGAAGAGAAAGCGGCCCTAACTGTGAAGCTCCAGAATTCTCTGCTCCAGGCGAGTCTCAAATCAATGCGGGGTGTGGGAGGGGGGTTCTGGGCCCTCGGAGGCGCTGGTTAACGGAGGTGCTGGCAATCTCAGGGAACTTTCCCGGCCTTATCGCATTCGGCATCCTTGGAAGAAACAAAAGGACTTGAGCACAACAATAAATTTAGCCGCAGCTACAGAGAGCCTGATTTATGGAGGCTTATCCAAGAGGCACTTACTGTCTCACGTGAGAGGAGGCAGGAGGCTGCTGTGCTGGTTCTGTGGCTAAATGACACCACGCTGGTCCCTCTGCTCCTTCACCCGGCTTCATTCTCACTTCTGTGGGCACTGGACACGCTTGCTGTTGTGGCTCCTTTCCTGGATCACAAATTAAAAATTATTTTTAGGACTGCATTCCTATAAAGATAAATATAGCCAGGCTGTATTTTTTTTTTCTTGTGATCTTGAAAGAAATTAAAATATTTCTATGGCCCCTAAAAATATCGTGGCCCGGACACTGAGCCTGCTGCTTCGAATGGAGAAGTCGGCTCAGATTCCTGGTGTCGGTAGCCACACCGGCTGTCAGGCCCACATTTAAACCAGAAAACGGGAAGGGAGGGAGGAGTGCAGGGGGGAGGGGGGGGGCGGGGAGCAGTGGTGACCAGGCCTGCCCACTTCAGCAGGCAGCAGAGAGCGATCTCAGCACCCAGCGGACTCCTGCTCCTGTGGGTAACACCTGTGCCACGTGGCCAGCCTGGGAAGGCATGGGTTCAGCTGTCTGGCCTCCATGCTGGAGGCAGGCGAGGGAGAAAGGGGTAGGCATGGGATGTAGACCAGATGAACAGCAGTTTGCTTCATGGGCCCACCCCCCTGTCCAGAGCACATGCTTGGTTTCGGGTTCAATCTCTTCCCTCTCCTTTCCACCCTGAAATCAATAAACGTATTAAAAAGAAAGGAAGGGAGGGAGGAAGGGAGAAAGGGAGGGAGGGAGGGAAGAAAGGAAGGAAAGCAAGGAAAGCAAGGAAAGCAAGAAAGCAAGAAAGCAAGAAAGCAAGAAAGCAAGAAAGAAAGAAAGAAAGAAAGGAAGGGAAGGAGGAAGGGAAGGAGGAAGGGAAGGAAAGGAAGGAAGGAAGGAAGAAAGGAAGGAAGGAAGGAAGGGCCTTTCTGGAAGCATGTAGCCTTTGTGGGATGGGGCACTGTCCCCAGACTGAGGGACCAGGAGAAGGAACTCCCAGATTCACAGCCACGGCCAGGAGGCAAGTGTCAATGCCTGTTCCTCTCTTCTAGGTCTCAAGGCTGGAAGAATTCATCCAGCAGAGTAAGGGATGTCCCCAAAGAGGCGCGGACGGGGCCCCGGAGCCGGACTGCCCGCCCCGCGGCCACTCGGAGGCCCAGGTGAGCCTGGCCCCTCCGGCTGTAATGAAGGACCTCTCTCTGTGTCCCAGTGGCACACGCTGGCGCTAATGGGCTTTTTCACTGTTCCCCTCAGAGCTGCCAAACCCCTGGAAAAAAATAAATCACTACAAAGTCCTTCTGCAATGGCCATGAACACAAGAGAGCCCTAACACTTGCGCGCGGGGTGTGGGAGAGAGCAGGCTTGTCAGATGGGCCTTCTCTCCTGCTGAGGGCAGCCTGCCCGGCAGGGAAAGCAGCCTGGACCCTGAGGGGCCTTTGCTTCTGCTCAGCGCGAAGCCTGAGAGTCATAACAAGGCCCAGGCCGCCCTCCGCCACCTCCCTCCACCTCCCGGCTAGCCTGCTCATTCGCTCACTGGCTGCCCTTTGAGGGATGCTGCTTCGGGGCAGACACTGGTGCCCGTTAGTGTCTCTGTTGGCTCCGGTGGCTGAATACCCTTCCTGGTGTGTCATGGTGACCCGTCACACACTTGGGGGCTTAGAGCACAGACAGAAACTCGTGTCTCACGCTTTCAGAGGCCAGAAGCCGAAATCAAGGCTGGTTCCTCCAGGGGCTCCGAAGGAGGCCCTGCTCCCCCCCTCTCCCTGATCCTCCCCTCTCCCAGCTCCTCCCTCACGGGCTCCGTTTCCAGAGGGAAGCACGGACCCCTGGGCCCCCCAGGGCTGCAGGGAACCTCATGAATGTCAGGTCCATGCGGTGCAGCTTAGCATCACACTATTCCTTCCTTCCGCGGTCGGTTGTGGGGTCCTGGGCTGGCACCTCTGAGCAGAGGGCACAGGGAAGGAAAACACATAAACGGAGATAACGCGATGTGGACATTCAGCTCAGCGCTGTCTCTAGCGGTACATGACCTGGGTGTAAACCGTGCACAGAAAAACAGAGCGCTGCTTCTGCTCCAGCCACCCACTGCAGAAGCCTCCACACTCCTCCGCCTGGGCACACAGCGATCATTTTCAACCTGGGTTCACCCTGGGTCTCCGTCCTCCAGGCAATTCACCTCCCAGACTGCTTCTGTTTTAAAGAAATCCCCTGGCCGAAACCAGTTTAGCTCAGTGGTAGAGCGTCGGTCTGCGGACTGAAAGGTCCCGGGTTCGATTCCGGTCAAGGGCATGTACGTTGGCTGCAGGAGGTGGCTGGTCGATGTTTCTCTCTCATCGACGTTTCTGGCTCTCTATCTCCCTTCCTTCCTCTCTGTAAAAAATCAATAAAAAATATATTAAAAAAAAAAAAAAAGAAAGAAATCCCCTGGAAGGGAGCGTTCAAAGTCATTCTCAAGGGCAGCTGACCACCTTTCAAAGATGCATTGTGTACATCTTAAAATAGGCCCCCTAATGCGCTGGGGTTTGGCCGAGAGGATTACAGGGGACTGTAATAGGTCCTGTAAAGTCACTTACATTTATAGAATGTTCAATAGTTTTGAGAAGTGCCTTCCTGTGCTCAGGGTGGCTCTGTCCCCTCTCAGGGGAGGGAGCCTCCTGCGTTTGGTGAGATCCCGTTTCCCACTGTTCCCAGAGGCTGCATGAGGGAGTGGACACTGCAGCCCATGGCTACCACCCTGCCTCCACCATGTCCTGCTCCACCACCCCCTTCCACCTCTCTTCAGTCAGGTCACCCCACCTTCCTGAGCCCCTGTCCTCCTCTGTGAACAGAAAAGGAGAGGCCGGAGGGGAGGATGAGTCCTGCATCTTTTCTGTGTGACCTTGGAAACGTGAATTTCTCTCTTCTGGCCTCAGTTTCTCATTTCAAAATGTATCAACTGCAACTCTCTGTTGCAAAAAAAAAAAAAAAGAGAGAGAAAAAATAAACCTTTAAAACCAGTTTGGCTCAGTGGATACAGGGTCGGTCTGCGGACTTCAAGGTCCAGGGTTCAATTCCGGTCAAGGGCATATACCTTGGTTGCAGGCACATTCCCAGTAGGAGATGTGCAGGAGGCAGCTGATTGAAGTTTCTCTCTCATCGATGTTTCTAGCTCTTGAGCACTCTCTTCTCCCTTCCTTTTTGTAAAAAAAAAAAAAAAAAAAAAAAAAATTAAAAGAAGAAAAAAACAAAACTATAGGTGTCCTGTTGCTGCTGTAACATGACCACAAACTGGGTGGCTCAACACCACACAGCTCTTACGCTACGGTGCTGGAGGTCCGAAGTCCTCCATCAGGTGCTGGTGGGCCTGTTTTCCTGAGTGTTAACTCTGAAGGCATCTAGTCAGTGTCTGTCTTTCTCTTGTTCTCTCTCCTCCTGCCTCCTAACACCACATTCCCACTGACCGGTCCAGCTTCCAACAGGGGCCTCTAGTCCAGTCAGCTGTGGACCAGGGCGGGTTCACAGGGTCCAGAACGGCTGCTGTGCCAGGCCATCGCTGCCATCCCAGGCAGGGTGGAGGGGAGACTGGTGCGCCCCACCAGGGAGCCGGTGCCAGCTGGGAGGAGCTGGGCAGATGGCACAGGTGTCCCCTGCTGTGCCCAGTGTGATGCTTCCTTCCTCCCACTTTCCCCACAGGCCCCCGAGGAGCTCTTGGAAAAGGAGTCCGGCCACGGCCTCCAGACCCAGCGGCAGGCCCTCCGGCCGGAGCGCCAGGCCTCGGAGGAGAAGGTCCCACAAGAGGTCCAGGGGGAGCAGGCGAGGATGCAGGCTCCGCAGGCTCTGCTGCTAGGTACACATTGGCCACACCCCTAAGGGGTCCGCACGGGGACCCAGGGGCCATGGGAGGCCCCGGGGAGGGGGGGTAGAGGTAGGGGAGCAGCAGGTAGAAGAGGTACACAGGCCAGAGCAACTCTCCTGGCTCTGCCAGCAGCTAGCTGTGAGACCTGGGGTGGGTCGCCCTCAGCCTCATCTTCCTTTCTCATAAAATGGAGTTACAATTGCCCTGCCTCATAGGGGTGTAATGTGGGTTTGGTGAGATATTACATAGAGAACACCTAACAGCATGGACCCAGTGAAGGATCATTCTCATTGGTATTGAACATATCTGCACTTTCTGGGATTGCCTCAACCTCTCATTCCATTCTGGAGATTTCTGCAAACCTGGGGGCTGAGGTCTTCCCTGTCTAAGACACACCTGACCTGCAGGAGAGGTCAGTGGGCGAGGGGTGTGAAGGTGAGTGATACACTGGGATGGGGACCCAGATATGCTGGATCGGTGGGTGAATGGATGGGAGTAGATCTATGGATGGATGGGTGGGGGATAGATGGGACAGAGGATGGACAGGTGGACAGATAGATGGATAACTGGGTTTGTAGAGGAATGGATGGATGGGAGGGGGGATATATGGACAGACGGATGGACAGGTGGACAGAGAGATGGATAACTGGGTTTGTAGAGGGATGGATGGATGGGAGGGGGGATATATGGACAGACGGATGGACAGGTCGACAGAGATATGGATAACTGGCTTTGTAGAGGGATGGATGGCAGTTGGATGGATGAATAAGTGGATGGTTGGGTGAGTGGTGGGAGAGGAAGGGAAGGTAATGAATACACTACAGTTCATGCTTTGCTAAAGGGTTTTATTGCCATTTTGTGGTAAAGGATTTTAAAAATGGGGCAGTGTCTGGATTTTTTTTTAAAGAAAAGCTATAGAAATTGCTTTATTAAAATTCTATTGAGGAGAAAACATGACCAGATAAGTTTTTCAGTATAATGTCATCAGAATATATTAAGCTCTTATATGTGTTTAATATATACTATACCTTTTGAGAGACGCTTAGTAGGCATATGGGATACCTTTCACAGCTAATACACTTTCACAATATCATAGATTTTCACTCTAAACATCATTCATTTATTTTACAAATATTGCTATGTACTGAGGTCCATGCCGGTGCTTACCTTATAGCTTATGGAATTATTGGGACAATATTTCAAAAGTCACTTGCAATAACTAAAATGTAGTCTCAAAAGCCCATAAGAGAAAAGTACTAAATTTGCTAGTCCTAAAAATTATATTCTTTAAAAAAAAATAAGTCACTGAATAGCATGCACTCTATCCAAAAATAGTCATTTTGGAAGGATTGCTTCCTCTGACTTTCAATCACAGCAGCGCACGCCTAGAACCCAGCACAATCCTCAGGGGAGAAATGTGAGTTTCTGTTCCTCTCTTGGCTGTTCCTCTCTTGAGTTCAGGAGGGCATGTCTGTTTCTCCCGGTGATTCTGGTTTTACTCGGTTTGTTGGGATAATGTGCCATCTCTTGCCCCCACATTCCACCCCAGGTGAAGGGTCATGTTCTGTCCCCTTAAGAGTTGGCATAAATGTCAACATTTCGGACTCGGAGACCTGCAACCCCAGAAGAGGCCCTGGTCATTGATAATTCCCTGTTCTCCTCTCGGTCCGTGGACATGGTGCTGAGGCCCAGAGTTGCCTCGGGGTTCAGTGCCGGTTCAGGCTGCCCCACCCGAACCCGCCGCCTTCCTGACACCTGGCAGGGTCTCGGAGGCGGTGCAGAGGGAAGGAGAACCGCTGGGCACAACTGCCTCGCTGTGTGGCTCCGGGCTCCTCGCTCAACCTCTCTGAGCCCCAGGTCCCACCCCACAAAAAGGGGCGGGTCGGACTGGATAGGATGGTTGGAGGGCTTCCGGGAACAGTTCGCTGGGGGTTCTGCGCCGCTAATGGAACTCTTGTCGCTGTCGTCTTGAAATAAGTTTGGAGAGCGTGACCCAAAGCCTGCAGCAGTGCCTACCCCGGGACAGACGCCAGCTTCCCCGGGCGCCTGACCTTGGCTGAGTGCCCCTGACCTTCCCTGCACACGCCTGACCGTGGCTGAGTGCCCCTGACCTTCCCTGCACACGCCTGACCGTGGCTGCGCTTCCTCTGCAGAGTCCCTGCGGCAGGAGCTGTGGGAGCAGAAGGCCACCTGCTCCGAGCACCAGCAGGACCTGGAGGCTCTGCAGGCCGAGCTGAGGGCCCTGGGCAGCTCTGACCGGCGGCAGCCCGGCCCCCCGGGTGCAGGGGACAGCGAGGGCCTCGCCAGCACCACAGAGGTCAGCGCCCTGTCCCCCCTTCCCCCAACACACACCCCCCTCTCCGAGCGGGGAAGGAGAGGCCGGGTACTTGTCAGAAACGGGAGCACCCTTCCGCCTCCGCTAGGCCAGTGGTCGGCAAACTCGTTAGTCCACAGAGCCAGCTATCGACAGCACAACGATGGACATTTCTTCGGAGAGCCACATTTTTGAACCTTAAACTTCTCCTAACGCCACTTCTTCAGCATAGACGCGCCCAGGCCGTGGTATTCTGTGGAAGAGCCACACTCCAGGGGCCAAAGAGCCGCCTGTGGCTGGCGAGCTGCAGTTTGCCGACCACGGTGCTGGGGGGGGGGGGGGGGAGAGTCCCTAGCTCCCCTCTTCGTAAAGCAAAACACGGATTCCGAGTTCTACGTGTCGTTTTTCATTCAGACACAGCAGCCTCTCGGGGAGCTGGTACCAGGCAGGGCTTAGAGGCAGCCGGTCCGTGCTCTCCCCCCCCCCCCCTTTCAGGTCCGCAGGGTCTGTCTCTGAGCTCCTCTCCCCGGCTAGACCTCCCTGCTCCCCGTGGTGGGAGCAGCCTCGCCCCCAGCTCAGAGCTCACTCTCCATGAGCTTCCCGCTCAGACACGCCACCGGCCCCTGCTTGCTCATCCCTGATGCCCCCCGAGCTGGGCAGCACAGGGGGCTCCTGGGAGCCAGGCCTCGGGCCCAGCCCTGCCTCAGGCATTCACACTGGCCCATGGCTCCCCACTGCCGTGGAGCCGGAGGCGGGAGGGGCACCTCCGGGCCCTGTCCGCCTTTGCCCCCCTGAACACCTCTCTCCTGGCTCCCTCCTCCCAGGGCGAGGACGGCGCAGGCCCCCCGAAGGGCACCGCCCAGCAGCCTCCCAGCGAGGCCGGCCTGCTCTGGGAGAACGCCCAGCTCAAGGACACCGTGCGGCAGCTGCAGGCCCAGGTGGAGCAGCACCAGCAGGAGGCACTGCAGCTCCGCGACCAGCACAGGTGTGTCTGCGGCCTCAGAGCTCCCCTCCCTCTTTCCCTCCCCTCCCTCCACGGCCACTTGGGGGAGCCCGATCCGCCCAGAGCACCTCCCCAGAGGAAATACTCCCCAACCCACTAGCTCTTCACTGACATTTCTCCCTTGACACAGGGATTAGCCCTGAAATAGAGGCAGGAACTCAATTTCTCTACAAAATCAGGGCATTCGTGGAATCAGATCTAAGGATATCAAAGGTTTTTATCTTCAAAACCAGCCTCAGGGAGACAGTGCTGGGTGCCCTTACCTCGCTGTGTTTGGGGGAGTCCGCTAACCTCTCTGAGGGGGAAATGGCACCTCCTCTCAGAGCCGCTGGCCCGGCAGGGGAATGTGTAAGGGGCCCCTGGCATGGGGGGCACTCGGTAGACTGTGGCATCACCGTTACCTGCTCTAGATTAAGATTAGCCAGCTCGTTATCAGCCCTGAAGTCACAGCCCGCCCCTACCCCCCACTTTTTGGAAAGTTCACGAGGACAATTTTAACTTCATTAACGGCTGTAGGACTTTTTGGGCTGTTTCTTCTTGAGGGAGCTCTGGCAGTTCATATCTTCCAGGGATTTTGTCCATTTTATCTGTTGTGCGAGTGAAACACTCATCTGAGAACACCTATGAGCCCTGACCGGTTTGGCCCAGTGGATAGAGAGCTGGCCTGCGGACTGAAAGGTCCCGGGTTCGATTCCGGTCAAGGGCATGTACCTTGGTTGCAGGCACGTTCCCAGTGGGGGTGTGCAAGAGGCAGCTGATCGCTCTTTCTCTCCCATCGATGTTTCTAACTCTCTATCCCTCTCCCTTCCTCTCTGTAAAAAATCAACTGGAAAAAAATAGCTATGAGCCCACCTGGCCAAGGTGAGACACTCCATTTCAGTTAGGGACTCACCACGTGACACTGAATAAGGAGGTGGGGCAGGGTAAGGACTCCTCACCACTTTGGGGGACAGCCCCCTCCAGTTCAGAAAACAGTGGTCCCTCCCCTGGGAGAAGAATGTAGTCACACAAACATAAGCACCTACTTTCTTTTTTTCTTTTTTTTTTAATGTATCTATCTCTCTCTCTCTCTCTCTCTCTCTCTCTCTCTCTATATATATATATATATATATATATATATATATATTATTGTTTTTTTATTTTTTTATTTTTTTTACAGAGAGGAAGGGAGAGGGATAGAGAGCTAGAAATGTCTATGAGAGAGAAACATCGACCAGCTGCCTCTTGCACACCCCCTACTGGGGATGTGCCGGCAACCAATGTACATGCCCTTGACCGGAATCGAACCTGGGACCCTTCAGTCCACAGGCAGACGCTCTATCCACTGAGCCAAACCAGTTTTGGCTGCACCTACTTTCTGAGGGTGACACGCCCCTGAGGCTTGTGGGTAGGTTAAGGCAAAGTGATGGCTGATGGCTGGACCCCTGCTTTGAGCTACAGACTGTTCTGGACACGTCTGAACAGGGTCATGCTTGCAACAGACCTGGAAGGTAGCCACAGTGGTGACCTCGACTTAACAGAGGAAGACAGTGAGCCGAAGGTCACACAGCTGGGAAGTGATGGGCGAGGCCGCCGACGGACATGGCACCCTGGTTCTACCCACTGCTCTCCTGGCGTGTCCCCCCCCCCCCCCCGCCTTTCCTCCTGGACTGGGGATCTCCGAGGTCTCAGAGTCCAACTGTCAGGAATTCTGCCACAGAAGCTCTGCACCCAGACTTCCCAGGGCCCACCTCGAGAGCTGCCTCCTACTCCTGCCCCCCACTCCCCAAGGCTGTTCTTCACGGAATGAGGAGGTTTTTCCCTCATGGAATGCTGGGTGGGAGTGCTGAGAAGGGGCTCCACGAGGGGGCTTATCCTGACCCCACACCTCACACACTCCAGGCCTCCTTCCCACGGTGTCCTGACCTCAGATGCATAACCTGCCTGTACCCATTGTCTCCCACCCTGGCCACCCAGCAGGAGCGGGGAGAAAGCCCTAGTGCCCGAAAGGCGGGTCCCTCCAGCTGGGTCAGTCCAGCTGTGCTTCCATCCACTGCAGGCAGCTGGAGGAGGACCAGCAGGCCCAGCAGGCCCGGGCGGTGGAGATGCTGCGCCAGGAGCATCGGAAGGAGATGCAGGCCATGGTGGCCGATTTCAGCAGTGCTCAAGCCCGGCTCCAGGCCCAGCTGGCTGCCCTGGAAACCGAGTAAGTGAGGCCGCGGCCCCACGTTACGGGGGCAGGGGAAGAGTAGAGGGGACTCTCCTAGTTTTAAAACTAAAAATCCTGAGTTCCAGGAAGCACCTCAGCCCCTGAGGAGCTGAGAAGGTGTGTCTCCTGTCATGTTAGGACACTGCAGTCCTCCTCTGTGCAGGAGGGAATCTGTGGGGAGTGAGACTGCCTCATAGGCTTGGTTTGGATCAAGGCTACCTTTCTTACTAGCATTGGCCCTCTTCCAACACACATCATCTCATTTTTTAAAAAATATATATATTTTATTGATTTTTTTTTTTTTACAGAGAGGAAGAGAGAGGGATAGAGTAGAAACATCGATGAGAGAGAATCATCGATCAGCTGCGTCTTGCACACCCCCTACTGGGGATGTGCCCGCAGCCAAGGTACATGCCCTTGACTGGAATCGAACTTGGGACCTTTCAGTCTGCAGGCTGACGCTCTATCCACTGAGCCAGACCAGTTTTGGCCACACGTCATCTCATTTAACCTTCAGAGCGGTCCTGCAGGGTGGAAATGATTATTCCTATGGACAGACTAGACGCCTGGTGCACAGATTCATGCATGGGTAGGGTCCCTCAGCCTCGCCTGCACCTTCTTGCAGTCCGGGACCCCTTAGGGGATGCGGGACTGCTGGGGATCGGGCTGACACTGGCAGTCGGACATCCCCTGAGGGATGTAGCAGTGCCGAAGCAGCAGGCGGCTGGGGAGGGGCCCGAGCCGGGGCCTGGTGCCCCACCACTCCTGCTCATCCCAGCTCCGCTGAGCCTGCTGCCGCTGCATGGTAGGCTGCGGGAGTGCACTGACCATGAGAGGGAAGCTCCTGCATTGAGCATCTGCCCCCTCGTGGTCAGTGCACTTCATAGTGATCGGTTGTCCCAGTTGTTCTAGTCATTCCGGTCGTTCCAGTTGACTGGTTGTGAGGGTTGCTTAGGCTATTATGTATATAGACTAGAGGCCCGGTGCATGAAATTCGTGCATGTGGGGGAGGTTCCTCAGCCTGGCCTTCACTCTCTCACAATCCAGGACTCCTCGGGGGTTGTCTGTGGGATTGGGCCTAAACTGGAAGCCCTATATCCCTCTTGCAATCCAGAACTGCTGGCTCCTAACCACTGGCCTGCCTGTCTGATCTCCCCTAACCACTCACCTGCCTGCCTGATCACCCCTAATTGCTTGCCTGCCTGCCTGATCGCCTCTAACAATCTCTGCCTTGGCCCCCGCCACCATGGCTTTGTCCAGAAGGACATCCGGAATGATGTCTGGAAAGTGGTTTGGCTGTCCGGTCTTATTAGCGTATTATGCTCTTATTATTATAGATAATACCAAAGGCAGCAATGTATTCATTCAACAAATGTTTATTCAGGGCTCTGGATTATGGAGGGAACAAACCAAAGACTATGCTCTCCTAGAACTCACAAATAATAATGGGGATGCTAACAAGAAATAAAGAAACAAATATTTAACTTCATATTGGTAGTGCAGGTGCTGGAAGAAAAACAGCATCAATTTCTCAAGAGTGGCTAGGGTGGGCAGCAAAGGCCTCTTTAAGGAGGTGACATCTACGCACAGAGGGGGAGGGAATGGGAGAGCCATCTGGAGAAAGAGCATCTCAAGCAGATAGAACAGCAGGTGCAAAGGCCCCAGGGCCTGTTTCCTAAGCCTGAGCAGCCAGAAGGCCCTGGTGGCTTCCGCGGAATGAGCGAGAGGGTGAGCAGTAGGAACAGGTTGGTGGGGTAATGCCAAGGGACGAAGGAAATTCTACGGTGAGCGGGGAGGAGGGTGGACATATTCAGAACACACCGGGAAGCCATGGCAAGGCTCTAGGCAGAAGTCACATGGTCTGACTCATGTTCTCTGGCTGCTTAGAGACCAGACCGGCAGATCGGGTGCTGGCATCAGGGAGACCAGACCCAGCAGCACTAAGTGAATTTAAGTGTCACCTGTCTGACCGTTCCTTGCCCTCTTAAAAACCCTCCTCCACTGTCTCCAGTACGAAGCAAACCACCCGAAATCTGGAGCGGAAGCTTTTACCAGCTTCCCTCTGATGGGACTTGCCGCGTGCCAGGCATTCATTGAATCCTCAGGACCACCGAGTGTCACGCCCATTTTAAAGGAGCTTGCTGAGGCTCAGGTGAAATGCGTACCCAAGGTCACAGGGAGAAAAAAAAGCAGAGCTGGGATTAGAGCCCAGCTCACCTCGCCCCGAAATCCTCGCCTATTATCCACCGACCGCAGGGCAATGGGTCATCTGCAGCCCCAGCCCTCCCCCTCCCTCACCATCCAGAGAGTTCTTTCTCAGCTTCAGGCTGAAAGAGCTGCGGGTACCAGCTGCCCTCACGGCTCTGCACACGCCACACTCCGGGTCGGCCAGCAGATGGCGCCAGAGCCACGTCGGTATCAGCAGAGCCTTGGGCATTGCCAGGTGGGGGCACTTTCCTGCTGAGGCCTCCTCTCTCAAACAGCCCTGGTTCCTGAAGCCCCACTGCGTGCAGCATTTGTGTGCATACATTCAGCATCGGTTCCTGGGCCGTGCAGCCCTGAGGAAACGGACAGCGGTCACGTTGGGAGTTGGGATCCTAGGCTCCACCCCGAGCTCTGCAGCCAACTCACTGGGTGACCTTGTGCAAGCTCTCTGGGCCTCAGTTTCCCCTTTTTTGCACAGCGAGAGTGGCGTCCCTACCACGTCATCACCTCTTCCCCCTGCGCGTGGTTGAGTAGTGGCAGGGAGGGGCTAACGGCATGTGTGCTTGAAACAGACTGAAGGGTTCTGGAGAGAAGCCGGGGAAGGGGGCGTCCAGGCCGGAGGACGTGCAGCTCATAGGCCGCCTGCAGAACCGCTTGAAGGAGAGAGAGGAGATCATCAAGCAGCTCACGGTGAGGCTGTTGGCGGCCAGGGGGCCCTGCGTGGGTGCCTGGGGGTTCCTGGGGGGAGGGGAGAGGAGGGAGGGAGGAAAGGGACGGAGGGAAGAGGCATTCACCTGCACCTGGCACTTCACTGGGCACCTCGAGTTTTAATGCTGATAACCATAAAACCACCTTACAAAGAGCCTTGGTTATTTTTCTGTTGTACACAAGAATGCATGCTCACTAAAAAAAAAAAAAAAAAAAAAAAAAAAAAATTAACACTGGAAAATAGAAGACAAAAAAGTCTCTCTGCTCCCAGGCCCCACAGCATCTGCCCATGGCTGATATCACTCTGGTTTTTATTAGCCAACAGCATTTGGGAAGCTCTAGAATGGCTCGCCTTATGTTTGAATTTCAGTAGATCCAAGCAAGCCCATTACTCTGTATGGATCTTCCGTAAAAATGACCGCCTGTTTTCCAGTGAGCAAAGCTACCCCCTGGGGCCCTTGAAGAGAAAAGCTGTCTTCTCTGCTTCTATATCAGGCATCCACCAAGGCCTGGTAGCCATTTATTTAAAAACTAGAGGCTGGGTGCACAAGGTTGGTGCATGGGGGAGAGGGGAGGGAGGAGGCGGGGAAGCCTCAGCCCAGCCTGAGCCCTCTTGCAGGCCGGGACCCCTCAGGGGATGTCAGACATCCCTCTTGCAGTCTGGGGCTCTTGCAGCTCCTTACTGCCTGCCTGCTGCCCTTGGCAGCCCTGAGCCTGGCTTACCACCAGGGGACAGCTCTGACATTGAGTGTCTGCCCCTTGGTGGTCAGTGCGTGTCATAGCAACCAGTTGTTCTGTTGTTCAGTGGATTTGCATTTTATGCTTTTATTATATAGGATAATGCAGAAGGCAAGAAAAAGTGGCACACATTAACAACATTAGCAGATAGGGACTGCACCTGAGGGTCTGCTTGCTTTGCCTCCTTATTAACTCTCTGCACCTTAATTGTTAACTGTCCACAGTGCCCTTCTCTGATGCTGGGAGCACCTGGATCTCTAACTTCCCAAGGTAAGGTGACTAGATTGTCCAGGTATTGGCGGGACAGTCCTGCTTCTAACAATTTTTCCTGCGTCCTGCAGCGTTTTAAAAAAGTCTCGATTTTTTGGAAAGAATCTTCCCAATGTTTCCAATCTTTCAAAAAATCGGGACTTTTTAAAAACTCTGCGGGATGCGGGAAAAATTGTTAGAAATCAGGACTGTCCCACCAACACTTGCATGGTCTGGTCACCTTACCCTAAGGCAGTGTTTCCCAAACTTTTGACATATGTGAACCCCTTCTATAATTTTCATTACACTGAGCACCCCCGTACTCATGAGAATGTAGAATTAGGCGCAGCTAAGCACGGTGCAGTGCATATCCCCACCAAACTCCGGTGCAACGGACCCCACCAAACTCTTCCCATACCCCTGGGGGTACCCGTACCACACTTTGGGAAACACTGCCAGGCATTCCCAATAAGCTGGCCCATTGCTTTAGGAGAGGGGATGGGGACATAGAGACTCCAGGAGTAAAGGTGCTTCCTCCCAGCTTCCCTGGATGGCAGCTGAGTTCTCCCCTGGCTCCCCTCCCCTCCCCAGGACGTCCTTCTCTCTGTCTCCCACCCTAACACTGCCACCCGGTGCCGGTGCCGTGTGGTTAGGCTCGTTTAGATGCAGTTGTGCTGTTTTGCCAGGAGGAGAGGAGATTTCACTACGCAGCGTTCCCCAGCGCCATGTCCCATCGGAATCGGTCCTTCTCTTTCAACCCTCACCCAGGCTATTTGACCCCTTCCATGAAGGTAGGTCGGTTCTGCTGGCTCTGGTACATGGCACGATCTGCTGGTTTCATTTTTCTAAGGCACCTGCAGCGTATTTACCAACGACTGGGAGATAGTCAAAAGGATGCTCACTAAGACCCACCGAAAATAACCCGTGCTTAAACAGTGTTCATATCTAGCTAGGAAGACAGTGTGTATTTTTATTTTTCATGGTTTTTTTTTTGTCTTTTCTAAAATTTCTGTAAATAAATGTGTCACTATGAATAGTGGTTCTATCAATAATTGGTGGTAGGAAGAAGGGTAAGAGCAGGAATCCTCCACTTCTTAACATTTTTTTCCTTCTATACTTACGGAGTTTGTTACAGTAAGAATATTCACCAAATCTCTCACAAATCCTAAAAGCTCAAAAAACTAATATTTTTAATCGCTTGCAGAACAATAAACCTAATTTCAGCTGAACTGATATAAGATCATTTATGACTTTTATATATCCTTCTTACTGTGACAAAATGTAAGTTTCACTTCAGAAATAGTCATGCATTTGAGGACAAGATGGGTCCAGCCCCTGCTGGGGGTGTTATGTGGCCTTTTAAAATCGAAACAAAGATCTTTGAATTACACATCTGTCCCCAGGAATTTCAGATAAGAGATTGTGGACATGTATGTATGTGTGTTTTTTAAAACACAAAATAGATTAGAGGGGGAAATGCTTTGAAAAATAATATGGAAGTACGTAAATAAAAGAACTGCATCCTCATGGCATGGTTTTGGTTGGGAGGGTCTTACTTTTTTTACAGAGAGGAAGGGGGAGGGATAGAGAGCTAGAAACATTCATGAGAGAGAAACATCAATCAGTTGCCTCCTGCACACCTCCTACTGGGGATGTCCCCGCAACCAAGGTATATGCCTTGACCGGAATCGAACCTGGGACCCTTCAGTCCATAGGCCGACGCTCTTATCCACTGAGCAAAGCAGTTAGGGCTGGGTGGGTCTTACTTACTTCCATAATAACACCTCTTTGGCCCGATGCTAAGAGACCTGTCCTTTAACACGAATAGAAAAAGAAGATGGAGGACGTGCCCAGCCGAGTGGTCAGCGTGCCCAACCTCGCCTCCTACGCGAAGAACTTTCTGAGCGGGGACCTGAGCTCCAGGATCAGCGCCCCGCCAATCACCAAGTCCCCCAGCTTGGACCCAAGCCCCGGGGGCGGCCAGCCTTACAAGCCCACCCAGCCTCTAGATGTGAAGGCGGCCACCAGGTAGGGGCAGGCGCTGTGATTCCTTTTCCCGTAACAGGAGGGGAACTGGAATTCCGTTCTGGCACCTGTGCCATCCTCGACACCGGGACAGATACAAAGCCCTGCCTGGGAAAACCCAGTCCCGCAAACGGAAGATTGTGTAAGAGCAGAGAAATGTGCCATTCTTCAGAAGAGGGACTATTCCTGGTATCACATTCCAGGAAGCCCCACCCTCCTGCCCCCTTTTTTTCATGGTTAGACAAGCGGCATTGAATTCATTCAGAGGCAACATTTTTAATTCTGGGCTTAGAAGTTTGCATTTCAGAAAGGGCCACTCCTAAAATGTTCCTTTTCCTAAGGCCCTGCCTACCTTGCGGCTATTTATTTGTCTTCTACAATTGAAACTTTGTAGCCTGGAGTGGAACCAAGCCTCATACTCGCTCTGTGATGGCAGCCATTTCTGTTGGAATTTATGTGTCTTCTATAATATAATTGAAACTTTATAGCATGGAGTGGAGGCCTAGGCCCGCCAGGGCTGTAGAAGCTTGGCTTCCTCCATCACCTGGGGAAACCCTAGACTCCTCCTCTTCCAGCTCAGGGCCTACCTTCATTTCTGTTGGAATTTATCTTCTACTGTGTTCCCCCGAAAATAAGACATCCTCCGAAAATAAGACCTACTTACAGGTTTCCTTCTGAGTGAAATATAAGGCATCCCTCTGAAAATAAGGCCCCTCCCCCCCAGGAGTCACAAGAAATTCACCAGGAATTGTATTGTTATGATGATGTTCCAGAAGATGATGACATGATTGTCATTGAATAAATGAGTAAATTCTTGATACTGTAGGATTCACAGTTTGTATGGTTTGTGTTGACAACTACCGTACTACCGTACCATTTACAGGTAATAAATTTCCTTTATTTTCATTTAACAATAAATGTGTACCGTATTCTTCTTCATGGAAAAATAAGACATCCCCTGAAAATAAGACCTAGCGCATCTTTGGGAGCAAAAATTAATATAAGACAGTGTCTTATTTTTGGGGAAACAGGGTATAATTGAAACTTTGTACCCTTGAGTGGAAGCCTCCGCTGGCAAGGGTGTGCAGAAAGCTTGGCTTCCTCCATTCCAGGGAAACCCAAGCCTCCCTCCTGCTCTCTGTGGCCATAGCCATCTTGATTGGGGTTAATTTGCATACTTGCTTTTTAATTGGCTGGTGGGTGTGGCTGGTGGGTGTGGCTGGTGGGTATAGCAGAGTGATAGTTAATTTGCATATTACTCTTTTATCAGATAGGATTTGTATATATTTGTGCCTGGAATAAATGTTGCAAATATGCCTCATGATCTTAAGTGAAACAATGGAGAACCTTTGGTTTTCAAATCTGGAATTAGACATTCCCTTTGCCCCTGTCCTTCACAACTGGTTTCCAGATGCTAATGTTGGCCAGTCACGTTCCAGCACTTTTGAAAGAGTCAAGAAGCAGAAAAGATGGTGGGGTAGTAAGATGTTTTTCTGAGTAATTTTCAAAACCTCAAAACCATCTAATCCTTTTCGTTGTTTTTTGTTCAGGACACAAGATGGTGAAACAGCGCAACCCAAAGAAGCCCAGCAGAAACAGAGCTCTGCCCACCAGGAATGGTTCACCAAGTACTTTTCTTTCTAAAGTGATCCTCGGGGTCCATCCCAGAAAGGACATTGGGAAAACATTTCTTTTAAAACATCTGATTGAGGGAATGAACTACAAAACCAATCAACCAAATAACCTGCGTTGTCATTTGATTTGCATCCAATAGCTAAACGCATTTCGGCACTGACATTTCATACTGTTTCATTGTGGCACCGTTCATTACAAATCCTTGACGAGAGGGTAAAAGGAACCCGTGTTAACCCGAAAATATCATAGGGAAATGTTAATGTCACTCATGACCTGCCTGTAGAATTTTGTGTCCAAAGATTGCATTCTGCTTTGTGGTTTCTGCAGTCTACTTTGAAAGAGATTTCATTTTCCAGGATGCAACTCAAATCCTCTTGAAAAGTGTTTCTAAGTCAGTGATATAATGTAAGATGCAACTCTAACCTCATGAAGAAGAGGAATAAAACAAAGTTCTGAATCACCAGGAAAGCCAACTTACACACCAAACAAGCAAATGGAAGCTACTAGGATTGAACAGCTAAAGACCTTGACAACTTGGACTTCCTAAATTTGGACATGATGCAGTTAATAGAGGGGATAACACCTACCTCAAAATGGGGCTCTAAGAGAATTAAGCAACATATGGCAATGATGCCAATCACAAATTCAAATTAAGCACTGCCAGGATTTGTGGATAATTGAGCCCCGCCCCGTCATACCTCCGTTTCAGTCTGCAATGTCAACTTGGCCATTTGTGAAGGTTTCTAGATTATCTGTTATTTCAAGTCAAAGATCTACTGAACCTTTGGTCTCTGGGTTTGGGCCATTTGCCTCATGATGCATTGCTTCCCTGTTGCATGGATGCTTGGTAGCTTAAAGGGGACATGTGCCATCCACGGTGCTGACCTTGCTCAAGCCACACTGAGCTGTTGGACCTTCTGAAGAAGCAGTGTGATTTGACAAAACGTTACATATTTTAATGGGCAAAACGTATTCTCAATCCTCTGGTGCTGGCCCATGAACAGTTGTTTATTCCATGCACTGTCAAATCTTTGCTCTTTAAATAAAACTTTAAACAACTGTGCAATAAAAATGGTGTGACTTTATTGATTTTCCAAAAGAAGGGTGTAATTTGATGAAGACTAAACTTGGAAATGGAAAGTTTACATTGACCTCAATCGGATTTAAAGGTGAATTTACTATCAAAACACATGGCCCCGATAATTTTTTAACTGCTAATACTTACCATACCTGTGACATGCTGTATTATTTTTCAGTATCAAGTATTTTGTAGTTGTCTTTTGCTTCCTGCTTAGTGAGCACTGTAGGACTTTGTATCTTATTTTAAACACTGCACACAGTTCTACTTTTGTTGACTGAAATATTTCCCCATCACCCTGCAGCTCCTGACTAGCAGAGCAGGCTTCCTTCATTCTGCTGTTCCCTACCTCAGTGCACCTGCTGCAGGGACAGGATTGTACTCAGGACTCTGCACCTGTTTAGACTCCTTTCTTATTGCAGGTGAGTGAAAGATCTTATTCAATTTCTAGATCTAACACATATTACAATTCCTAACACATTACACATGTGTTAACTAAGTCTTTGCATGCTTCTATCATCATGGGAGTGAGGAGACAAGGGAACTCCCAGCTCAATGCTCATTTCTCATTGAAGGAGGGATTTCTATGATCATCAACCAACCAGCAAGATGTCGTTAAAAGGAAAATAATATTTACAAACAGACAAGATTGAAAAATTATTTATTTGCTAGAATTTTTTTAAATTTAATAAAAAATGGCAATAACTGATACATTAATTCGAAGTCTTTTCACTAAGTACCAAGGACAGTTCCTGAACTTTTCACCAAGAACCCCTTTATTATTATTGAAAGATGCCTAAATCAGTTTGAGTTTTTAATGGAGAAATCCAAAGCTGCCAATCAGAGCTCCTAATCAGCATGAGATGGCCAGGTTAACAACCCTGAAATCATGTTATCTGAGAAAAAAAATTTTTTTAAAGCTTTAACTCACACATGTTCAGTGAGGCGACTAAGTGGCCTCAAGCTCTAAACCATACATGCACAAACAATAATGGGTAGTAAGTACTATGTACAAGAGACCCATAATACATGATCTCTGTATGTTCAGAGGAAAATAGCCTAATTCTCTTGAGGAGCACAGAGACACATACAAACTACTAACCTCAAATGAGCACCAAGCAAGGCTGATAGACAGGAAGTGCTGAGTCCCGGGGGGAGGGGAGGCCAGTAGGGAGGGCATTTGGAGGCTTGAGGGAGCATTCAGGCACCACGAGCACTGTCAGTGCTTCTGGGGAGGGGCCTTCAAGGCTAGAGAAACAAACAAGTCAAGGTATCGAGCCCCAGAGGCACTGCCTCTTCAGGAAACAGTGGTGCTCGTCTGGGGTAAAGGGATGTAAGCTAGCCAGAGGCTGAACATCCCAGAAAGGAAAGCTCATTCAGGGACAGGCAGACACAGCGCCCGTCTGTATTTCCCAGCAGCAGCAGATCCATCAAGAATCGTGTTGGGCCGAAACTGGTTTGCCTGTGGACTGCAAGGTCCCAGGTTCAATTCCGGTCAAGGGCATGTACCTTGGTTGCAAGCACATCCCCAGTAGGGGGTGTGCAAGAGGCAGCTGATTGATGCTTCTCTCTCATTGATGTTTCTCTTATCCCTCTCTCTTCCTCTCTGTAAAAAAATCAATAAAAAAAATATATATAGAAGAATCGTGTTGGCCTGTGTGACCACCAAGAGGATAAACCATCTTCCCAAATGCTGAGGCTCTTTGTGGAGAGTAAGTCACCTAGGGTCAGTCATCCCGAGGTCCCGCCCCCTGGAATTGACACCACCCATTCCCAAGAACCTTCCTTAATGGAAAATTTCTGCTCCACAAAAGCAAAACATAACACAAACAAAACAAAAAGAGACTAACCCTCACACCTCACCTCTGCCCGTCGTGCTAGTGGGAACAGGGTCTGCTATTGAGACTGATTCTTCACTGCAGAATGGGACAAAATTTACGTCACTGCTCCTCCTGCAGCCTCCCAAACAGTAAACAAACATCACACAAAATATAAACTTACCGCAAACAAAACATCAACTTAAGGATTCTACTGTATTACCAATGCACTAAGCTAGGCTATGACAATCCTCTTCCGAGTATTTACAAAAGACGCATTACAAACATTGCTGTATTAGATTCCTCCTCTTGAGGTAGTTCAAAGTCTAGAGACGTGGCAAATTTACATATTTTTACCTATTGCCACTGGGGGTTAATTAAGATAAAAGTCTATAACAGTTTTCCCCTCATGATTCAAACTAGTCTAAAACTGGAAACACAAACAGATTAAAAGTTACACAAACATAAAAAATAAGCAAAAAAAAAAAAAAACCCAAACAAACATAAAAAGCAATGTTAGTGGCATCCTACTAACAGTCTAAATTTTGCTAGAAACAAGAATATTTACTTGGTTTACCAAAGCGATGCACATTGTATAAAGTAATAAAATAAGAGCTTATAAAAAACGGGGAACATTTTAGGTGGGAGCATGCAACTAAAACCGTCTCGTTCTCTGGCAGAGTTCCCAGATGTCACGCCACCGAGAAGCGAGAAGAGACCCTTCCCTGCGGCCTTCCTCAGTTCTGCTTCATGGGCGCGGGGATGTTGGTGGACGCCTGCTCGAGGTAGGCCAGGGAGCCCTGCGGGAGGTCGGCGGGCTTCTTGTGCTGCCCGTTGATGTCCTCCAGCACCTGCTGCCAGTGCCGCAGCTTGGTCAGGTGCTTCTGCACCAGCGCGTCTTTCCGCTGCAGCTCGTTCCGCAGCTCCGACACGTCCTGCAAGTGAAGGGTCCAAGTCAGAGCAGCCTCGTGAGAAGCAAATGCAGTTCCTGAATAATTAAGAGCACTAGGAAGTGAATTTAAGACAAAGAAAATCGTTAAACCACACAAAGCCCAATCATTACGCTGCTTGGCTCCACTATTTGAATAACCCAAAGCAACTCTTCCAATGGCAAATGTCTGTCTAACATTGAGAGTTTTTATTTTTAATCCATTTTCTTTTAGTAATTCCCAAGTTATAATATTCCAAAGTATCAAAGAGCAGCCAAAAAGAAATCAGTCTCTTTCCCACCCTAGTCCCAGGCATTCAATATCTCTGTCCAAAGGCTACTGCTGAGAACCTAAAAAACAGTGAGAATCTGAAACACGTGATAACTATTTAAAAGAGTCTACAATCGCTGTTCTAACATTTCATATTATGAAGTGTTAGCATCTCATTTTCAAGAGTTTTTCTAAATACTAGCATTGTAATTCTTTATCAAGACCTAGCCTTGATGCCCTAGCCTGGTTAGCTCAGTGGATGGAGCGTCAGCCTGCGAATTGAAAGGTTCCGGGGTTTGATTCTGGTCAAGGGCACATGCCAAGGTTGTGGGCTCGATCCTCAGTGGGGGACTTGCAGGAGGCAGCGATCCATGATTCTCTCTCATCATGGATGTTTCTATCTCTCTCCTGCTCCCTTCTTCTCTGAAACCAATACAAAATTAAAGAAAAGAAAAAAAGAAAAAGAAAAATGAAAAAGACCTGGCCTTGAACGCCCCTACGTTACTAGTAAAGTATTCAAATCAGGAACTGATCTGATGTAATGAACTATGAGAGTATCACCTCATCATTCACCTTCTCAACCACTGAATAAAAATATTCTAACTGGTCAGCTTGTGGAAGGAGTTACTTCGAACATTGCCCACAAAACGTTCATCTCAATTTAGTGTTTCTCATAAGAGGCACCGATGGCCCTTTGGGCGGGCGATTCTTCCCTCTTCACACTGCAGGGGGCAGGTCCCGGCAGCTCCCCAGTCATCCTGGCAGCCCCCACACACTGCGAATGCCCGCTTCACAAGACTGAGATGATGAAGTCCTGAGCTTGGAGGAGCCCGGGCCGGACACTAATTCTGGGTTCGCTGACAAAGCCCTTCCTGTGTACAGGCACTGGGTAAGGAAGCTGGGGATGCACAAATTGCAGCTCTTTCCAACGTGAGTTCCATGACTTGCTTTTCAACCTTTTTCAAGCAGCGATAACTTTCCTTTAAGAAACATCTTCCATGACAGCCAGCATATGAAAATCTCTGTTTGAAGCCCTGATTCCCCCACCCCTTTCCTCTCCTACTGTCCAGGTTGTCATGAACGTTGACAGCTCGCAATATTCGTACCCAGTCTGTAAAGCCCTACTGTAGCTGATGGAAAAGGGTTTCCATTTAAAGCAGAGACGGGACCCTGACAACACTGCTCTTCCTACAGCTGAGGAGATCACGGAGCTCATACCTCTTTGATAACCTGCTCGGGCTTCTGGACAGATAACTGCAATCTTTTTTGTAGAAAAAAGCATTCTGTTTGTCTTGCAATATCCAGAAATTTCTGGATACACTGGTCAACACCTTAAAGAAACACACAAAATATCAAATCAAGAAAAATATTCGACATAAAAATCTCCCACATATATGAACAGTCAGAATGTCAAGACATCACTTTCTCAGAGATATAATCTGGGATTTTAAATTCGGCCATAGCAATGATATTGACCCCCAGCCTTCCATATGTTAGCCAACATTAGGTAGTAGATAAATTTATACTTTTATCAGGTGAATAAGAGACCTGCTACAGCATACTTCTGAAGAAAAACAATCCAGAGTTCCAGCAAGAAGCATGATTCCAATTAAAAAGTAACATTTAAAATATTGTACAAAGAAACCAGAACCACTGTTCACCTCTGAGGGCAGAACTTGGGCAGGGAGGAGGAAGCACAAGAGACTGTTACTTCCACCTATTCAAAAACTAAACAAAGCTTACTATAAAGCAGCTCACACTATTGGTCTTGGTCCTAATGCTGCTGTGAAAAATTCATCATGAATGACACAAGATGTCAATTAATAAACTGAACAGAGAACCAGCAGTATACGAACAATTTGCATAAATCTTCTTCCCCAGAGAAGTTCTCTGAGGGTACCAGCAGGACCGGAACACATCAAGTGTAAAATCAGCCGTCAGAACCAGGTCTAAAAAGTGGGAATGCTTACCAGTCCGAATTTCCTCCTGATCCGTGCCATTGACGTAGTCCTGACTCACCAGAGAAGCAAAGCAAGCCTGTGTGGCCAAAACATGTCACAAAAGAAAAAAAAAAAAATGTCATTCACACATCAAAATCCAATTTTAGGGTAAAATACGGCTCCTCCTGAGGTTATTCAATGAGTTGATAGCATGTGGTTTGCACACCCGACAAGACATCAATGATGCCAATAAAGACATGTAGTAAACTGACTGACTCTGTTAGACCCACGGAAGAAGAGCCAGAGGATCAGGCAGCTGGAATCTGTCAGCACCCCATCTGCTCTCTCTCCTGCCACTCGCTCCTCTCCCCATTATCTCATTCCACACCAGGGCCTGGAACCCTAATCTAGTCCTACCCTCAGCGGCTCCCTCCCATGCTCACATGATGTGCACCACCCATTCAGGACTCAAGCAAACCACCCCCTCCTCCGAGAGACCCTCTCCTCCTTTGAAGTGCCCCCTCCTGGATGCCCTCTGTCACCAAGCCCGGCGGTACTGTTTTTCGCTGACATTAGTCCCAGCTTTTAGTCCATTATCAGCTGCTCCCTAGCAGATGGGAGACCCGCCTTGTCCACTACGCGCCCGGTGCAAGAATTCTGCTTGGCACAAAGTGGGCACTCCACAAACACAGCTAATGACGGGCTGGAGGACGCAAAAGAACCAGGTTGGTTCTCGGGGAAAAACAAGTCCCAAAGAGGGAGTTCTCCCTAAAGGGACCAGGATCTAGGTGTGTGTGTGACTCCGCCAGGCAGTGCTATGACCTTAGAAGGCCTAACACAGCAGCAGGGCCAGAAAGAGAACGGGACAGGAGGTGGGGGGCCCAGGGATCAGAGAGGATCCCTCCAACCTCAGGAGAGCAGAGCCTGCCAGCACGAGCAAACGCTCTTGGAATGAGGCAGACCTGGGCCCAGGCTTAGGCCACTGACGAGATGGGAGGGCCCTTCTGCCTGCCGTTGCCACCATTTGATTTTTAAAAAAATATTTTTAATTGATTTTTTTTTTTTAACAGAGAGAAAGAGAGAGGGATAGAGTTAGAAACACTGATGAGAGAGAGACATCAATCAGCTGCTTCCTGCACACCCCCCACAGATGTGCCTGCAACCAAGGTACATGCCCTAGATCTGAATCGAACCTGGGACCTTTCAGTCCGTTCTATCCACTGAGCCAAACCGGTCTCGGCTCACCATTTGATTTAATAGAGAAAAATCACAATATTCCTTCAGGCAAATCCCTGTAACCGTTTAACAAATCAGAAAAAGACTCCCCTTTCTGTGGGACATTTTGAATGATGACTCCTATTGGATTTGGGGCTCCAGGGTCCTCCTTGGGCCAAACTCCCGTTTGGGGTCATCTCTGCCAGGGTCCCTCCCTCCTTAGCCCCCAGCGTCCCTCTTTCCTCGACCCTCGTATGGAGTCCCCGCACACCTTTCGGGGAGTCCATTTCCGGTCCCAGGGGTCCCATTACGGGGGTGCCCGGCTGGAGGGGCGCAGGACGGGGCCGGCGTAACGTAACGCCCCCCCCCCTTCTAAACACGCAGGGGTGCGGGGAGGGGCGCTCCAGGGAGAAGGAACCGGGTGGGACGGGATCGGTGGGCGGGAACCTAGAAGGGGGCCCTACAGTTGGGGATGGATGGGCAAACTTCAAGCCCACGTGCCACCGGAACCGTCTGTTGACGCGTCTCCGCCAGCAGCCCGAGCGGAACATGGCCACCGCTCCCGGTGGGGACCATAGCCAGTGACTTAGCCTCCGAGCCGGCGTCCCCGTTGGTAGCGGGCTGCGGGCATCGCCGCTGGGATAACGTGCGCCTGCGCAGCTTACACGCCTGGCCTGGAGGGAGGATGGGAACACAGGCGCCCCTCCGCCCCCGCGTCTCCTTTTTTACCTCGAAAGACGACTCCAGCTCGTCCACCAGGGTACTCGGAGAAGACCTCGGAGCCCCCGGCGCGGCCTGAAGAAGCGAGGCCTGGCCCGGCAGGCCCGGCGGCGGGGGCGGGGCGCCGGGGGGCTGCCCGGAGAACATGCCTCCCAGCGGCGCCGCCATCGCGGAAACGGCAGGAAGGTGTCTACTGCGCCTGCGCGGCGGCTGGTCCGCCGATCACGTGACGCCGCCGATCACGTGGCAGTTCCCCCGCGCCCGCGGTGGTCCTTTAGGCGTTAGGGAGACCGGCTGTTTGGGGTTTGATCTCCTCCTTCTTTTTTCTTTTCTTTTTTTTTCTCTTTCTGGAGAATTGAGGGCATTTGACACAGTTGTGTGGAGAGGAGGATAAATTCGTGGGGCCGAGCCCTCCCGCGGAAGTGAGGATGCTGCGGGGCCGGGCTTTGCCCTGAACGCCTGGAGTGAGTTTGGCCGAGAGTCTTGGGGCTCCGTGTACCCGCTGCCAGCAGCTGGAGGTGCCATTCCTCCCACAGACATTTCCTGGGAGTTTCCTGTGCGCCAGCTACGAAGCCAGCCGCCGTGGATGTCATGCGGACGGTTCTTTCTGAGGAGGGAGACAGGTAACGAAATGACCAACATTGGTGAGGTTCCCTGTCTGCGAGGCCTGGCACTGCTCCGTTAGATAATTAGTTACATCAGAGAGAAAGTCAGTGTGCTATATTTTAATAACTCGCTTTTAAGAGCTGTTGATTTATTTTTTTTTTCGGAAGGTAAATATGTTTTTATTATTTAATTTTAGTTATGTATGAGGTCAGACAACACATTTATGAAGCCCTCCATGTCCTAGTCTGCATGTTATAGCGATCACCCCAAGTCTCTGCCCTTGGGGGGTTTACTGTTGTTTTTGTCGGGGAGAGACACAAATAAACACATCCGTATATGTAGCAATATTATGTAGAGATAAATGCTGAGGCAAAACATGTATCCTGGTCGGGAGACAGGTGATGGATTTGAGAGAGGTGGTTGGAAGAGACCTCTCCAGGGAGAAGTGGACTGACGTGACTGGAGAGAAAATTCAGCCAGGAAACTTTCAAGCAGAGGGGGTCCCCGAAGAAGGAGCCTGCCTGGCATATTTAAGGAACCACAGAAAAGCCAGCAGGGCCAGCAGGAGTGAGGCAGGGCAGAAATGGTCAGAGAAAAAGTAGGCGCTTCCCTTTGCCAATCAGCCTCGGGTCAGAGGTCATCTTCCTAGCCTCAGTCTTACACCCACACTCTCAGACACTTTACCGTTTATCTTTCTTCACAATTTAAACATCGTCTGCAATCACCTGTTTTCTTCTTCCTTGACTAAGTTGCCTTACACAAATACACACACCAGCTGGAATGCAAGCGCCATGCAATCAGGGCCTGCCTATTTTCACATGTATTCCCAACGCCTAGAACTCTGGCATAAAATGGACATAATAAGTATTTGTTGATTGAATGGACAAAAATAGAATTCCCGGAGGGAAATAGTCTACTTCAGCAGTTCTCATACTTTTTGGGTCTCAGGATCCTTTTCTTTACATTCTAAAATTTTACTGGGGACTCCAAATGCTTTTGTTTATATGGATTATGTTGGCCAATAGTTACCTATTCAAATTGAGAATAGGTAAAATATTTACCAACTAAAATTGAGAATTAAAAATTTTATTCAGTCGAAACTGGTTTGGCTCAGTGGTAGAGAGTCGGTCTGGGACTGAAAGGTCCCGGGTTCGATTCCGGTCAAGGGCATGTACCTTGGTTGCAGGCACATCACTGGTGGGGGGTGTGCAAGAGGCAGCTGGTCGATGTTTCTCTCTCATTGACGTTTCTAGCTCTCTATCTCTCTCTTTTCCTCTCTGTAAAAAATCAATAAAATATATTCAAAAATTTATTCAAAAATATCACATATTAACAAATATTTTTAAAATATATTTTTATTGATTTCAGAGGGGGAGAGAGAGAGAAATGTCAGTGATGAGAGAATCATTGATTGGCTGCCTCCTGCATGCCCCTTCTGAGTATAGGGCCCACAACCCGGGCATGTGTCCTTGATTGGGAATCCAAACCTTGATCTCCTGGTTCAGAGGTCAATACCCAACCACTGAGCAACACCAGCTGGGTAACATAAATATTATTTTAATTAAAAGTATAAATATTTTCTAGAACAAAAAAATGAATTAGTGAGAAGAGTGGCAGCATTTTAATTTTTTGCAAATCCTTGAACATCTGGCTCAAAAGACTGTACCCATTGTTTACCTAACCATGAGTAAGTTGCCTCAGTGGTTAGTGGTACCTCTCTTGGATTCACTTCAGAATAGAGCACATTTGGACTTTGTTGAAAACACATATCCTCGTGTAAAAAAACGGGAGAACACTACTTTGGAAAGATTACTGAGAAGAGATAATGTGTGTAGGGAGGTGAATACAGTGCTTGGCATAGATTGAGTACTAGTGAGAAAAGACAAGTGACATGATGTAATTCGTTTAAAAATAATCTCTCCCCAGTATAGAAGCAGAGGTAAGCAAATGGAGGCAGGACTAATCAGGCAGTAGTCTAAAAGTAAACTGGTAATCCACACACAGAGACTGGTGTGATTTGTACAGTATCAGGGCTTAGGCTAACATTTCCCCAGGATCGTGACAAAAGGGAGTAGCCAACCCAAAGTTCAAGAATATGGCGGCCAGTAGAGAAAGGACCCAAGAAAGTGGCCAGCCCAATACTTACTGACATACCAAGTGATTTCTTTAAGCCCTAGACTGTGCTTTTTTTAAAAAACAAACAAACATTTTTTTATTGATTTCAGAGAGGGAGAAGAGAGAGAAACATCAGTGATGATGAAAGAATCATGGATCGGCTGCCTACTGCATGCCCCCTATTGGGGTCAGGTCACAACCTGGGCATGTGACCTGACCAGGAATCAACTGTGATCTCCTGGTTCATGGGCCGACGCTCAACCACCGAGCCACCGCAGCCAGGCTAGATTGTGATTTTCTTAAGGACAGGGACTACATCTTGTCTACTTGCTATCCCAACCATCTTCTACAATGTTAAGCACAGGGTAAACGTTTGCTGGATCAAATTCTTCAAAACAGCAACACTTCCTGTTTCTGTAACCATGCATGGTAAGGGCATTTTTGGATTTACTCCATTATAATCTTAAGACCTTTTAACTGCCAAGATTTTATCAAGTTCGTTTATCATGCCATCGTCCTTTCTCAACCATTCAACCAATGTTAACACTCATGTACTATAAGCAGAGATACAGTAAGAGACACGGTACCTGCCCTTACTGCACTTATAATGTGCACTGTCCCTTTATAGCAAGATACTGCACCATATTCAGTAATGGTCTCTTGTTTTCAAGGCCATGTGCTGGGTTGCAGATTCTGGGTTTTGCAGATCCATCAATCTGGGTTCTAACTTTTTTTTTCTACTTTCTAGTTCACAAACATTAGCAAGTCACTCGATGTGGTTTCCTCATCCCTGCAGTGGTGTCACAGAGACTGTTAGTTGCCAGTATCTTGTCCTCTTTTCCCCTTCCTTCACCAGCTTATCTTCATCTCCCAAATGCCTGGGGTAACATCACTTACTCTGGGTGATAACCTAAGCATGTTATGTGAGAATTGAGTGAAAACTCCTTAAAATAGGTTCATCCCTGCTCCCCCCACCCCCTTCCTCATCTTCACGCAGCCTTCAGTCCCAGCAGCCACCTGGGACTGAGGGAGCCTGAGGCGGTGATGGTGACGCACATTTCCAGCCTGTGGGGCTGCTTGAGTTCTGGATTCCCTTTTTGGATTTCACCTTTTCACAGTTGTTCTAAACCACTGCTGCTTTTCATTTGCTGCTCTCCAGCCATGCCTAGTCAATGAAACCAATTCGCCTGCCTCTGATCGTGGCTCTCAGGATCAGCCAAGGTCTGTGAAATACCTGGCAGCTAGATGCATGGGCATCAACCAGATTAGATAAGCACATGAATCCAGGGCTACGCCTAGCCTTTTATATCCCACACTCTAGTAAACACAGGAGTCCCGTTGTTCTTGTATTTCTAAAAGGCCTTTGATAGAAAGCCTTCCTTCGTATCCCTGCCTGGCCTTCTGAATCACCCGGAAGGAATCTAAATGATTTTAGTTTCTTTTCACAAGCTGGTAGTTCACCTTTCAGGACATGGATACCTGAAGGAAGACCTTTACTGCCTGGTTTTGATTCTAATAGCATGACTATGCATGGCCATTTCCATTCCCTGTCTGCAAACCAGTTTAGACACATAACTTCACCTTAGATGTAAAGTTTTTAAAATACTAAAAATAACTCCATAAACAGCTTTTCCTGACAAACTTCTCAAAGTCTAAAAAAAAAAAAAAAAAGGCACGCATCCTATTCATGGCAATTTGATTCACCCCCTGCCGAAATAAAACAAGAAAGCTGTCTTCAAAATCTGCACAAATGGGATGTCTTTGATTGGCTGCAGTCCCCAGCACATAGTTTACCTATTGCCAGTCTTTTTTATGATCTAGTTTCTCATTTCAATATTTCAAATATATTCCACATTCATTCAAATCACTGAACTGAAAGAACGCATTCCAGTGTAACCAGAGTGCCAGCTCTGGAGGCAGGCTGCCTGGGTTTTAATCTCTGCTTCCCAACTTCCTAGCTTGTGACCTCATTGGCTTGTTACCAACATTCTCTGTGCCTGTTTTCCACTGTTCTACTGGGATGATAGTATCTCATCACAAACTGATAAGCTCACCATTGAGTGCCCTGAAGTGATGCTTCACATTGAGATAATACCTTTATCACTGTGCCTCAACTTACTCAGTGTGAATAACAAAGCCAAAAATGGGTTTGTTATAGTCACCACTGGGTTTATAGTAGTGACACATAAGGAAATACCAGAGCCACACCGAGGAGCACAAAAAGCTGCATTTATTGTACCCACCAACCTCACGGTAACTCAGGTCCCTGGCATCACAAATCTGAAATACAATTTTGCTCTTCAATTAAAAACATATACTCTGAAAAGTGATTAGGTACTTTTTAAAAAATTCAATCATCATATATAGGACATCTTAAAAATGTTTTCCAAGCAAGACACTAGCTTTACAGTTTTAAATCTCTGCATAAAAATGAGAAAAATCAAGGCCTACAAATTTCATTTTGTCCTACATTTTTAAACATCATTCTTTTTTCCTTTTTAATAGATTTCATCCATTGCAGAATATTTTGAAGCTCAACTGCCCATTCAGGACGGAATGAGGGAGTTTCGCAGTGTCTGAACTAAGCACTGTCTTGACAGAACCGAACCAGGAACTCTATCAGGGTCCTCGTGGGCCTCCCAGTCATGCCTTTCCGCAGATAGGAGATCTCATCTTTGTTGGTCATCACACCTGCGATGTCTAGATGCGCCCACTTCGAATGAGTCACAAATTCTTTCAGGAACGCTGCAGCTGTGCATGCTCCTCCAGATCTGAAAAGACAGAAATGGTTGTTATCCCATCTTACTGTGCACAGAACATTTTATCAAGATTCCCCCATTCTTGCTAAGAAGAGTCTATGACCAGAGAGCAAACGTCAAGCTATGAGACCTATTAAGTTAACCCAGAAATCACTTCCAGATATTTATCTCAAACATAGCTTTAATTTTTTTAAATCCTCAGTTGAGGATATGTTTATAGGTTTTAGAGAGAGGAAGGGAGAGATGGGGAGAGCAACCGAGAGAGAGAAACATCAAAGTGATAAACACTGACTGGTGGCCTCTTGTACTTGTCCCAACCAAAGGCCAAACCTGAAACCTAGGCATTGCCCTGATCAGGAATCACACCTGCAACCTTTTGGTGCAAGGATGACAATTCCAATCAACTGAGACATATCAGCCAGGGCTTTTGGTATAGCTTTAAGCAGTAAAGGGTAAATTCCAGATTCTCCTTTTCCCAAGATAAAGAGTTCCTATATTATCCAACGCTTTCCCTTACCATTTGTCAAAAATGACCTTTAGATTTGAAAATATGCAAAATTTTGAGATCCAATTGGGAAATTCCTTAAAATTAAAAACATTAGAAATTAGTGCTTATTAGCACTACTGCCAAAGAAAATTGGAGAGTTAAACCTTTGTGAACAGAACTAAAATTGAAAATGGTCATTCTGGCAACCAATGCTGGTTGGGAAAAATGCTCATTTTACATACCTGTATTTTCCAATGTTATTCACATCAGCAAGCTGGCAGTCTACAATCTGTCTTGTATAATGTTCGTAGAGAGGCATCCTCCAGACACGGTCCCCTGTTTCAACACTGGCCTAAAGAGGAAACAAGAGTAGGAAGAGTGGATGAAGTAAGGGTTTGGGTAAACCTGGCTCTCAATGTGGGGTGTTCAATGCAGGAAGAAAAGAGCTGTTATTACTCTGTAACAGTGGTCGGCAAACTCATTAGTCAACAGAACCCAATATCAACAGTACAACAATGGAAATTTCATTTGAGAGCCAAATTTTTTAAACTTAAACTTCTAACGCTACTTCTTCAAAATAGACTCACCCAGGCCATGGTATTTTGTGGAAGAGCCACACTCATGAGGCCAAAGAGCTACATGTGGCTCGCGAGTCGCAGTTTGCCAACCACCGCTCTAGAACATCAAGCTACATAGCAGTTTCCAGAATCATTTTATTATTAATTAAAACATTTACTTAAGAATTATAAGAAACAAGTATGTTATAAAACAATCCCACAAATTTGTAGAGCATTTGCTAATATCACACTAATATTAAGGGTCTCAGTTATTTAAATAATGTTGCACATACCACTGTGATACTTTTCAAAGCTGCCTATATATTTTTAAAAACCTGACAGTGTTGTGGGTGCTAAGAAAGAGACACTGGGTGCATGGAGGCCAGAGGGGAGGCTGATGGCCCAGCCTGGAAGGAGACAACTGAGCTGGTATCATGGGTGGGGGGAGAGAATTCAGAGATTGGGAGAAGACAGATGAAGAAGTTTAGGACCTCGAACCAACATGAAGAATGTAGTCAGGGACATTGTGTATTTGTTCGTTACTGGCCCAGGTACTTGTTGAAAGAATGACTGGTAGCCAAGTGGATGCAGGGCTGGAGTTCAGGAGAGAGATGGGACTAATCAGCGAAGGGGCGAGCAGAGTAGATGCGCTTCCAGTATGGACCGTGAACAGTAAGAAGGGCAGGTGGCCCGTGACTGAACACCCCTAAAGGGGTACACAAAGGAAAACACTGGCAAAGGAGGCTGAAAAAGAAGTCAGTGAAGAAAGGGACCAGAGATTATCACAGAAGCCAAGATGGGTGTCACCAAAAGGTCAGAGTCACATGCGGCCTCTAGACAGTCTGAGGAGGCTGACAGAGAGGGGCAGGCAGGGGAAGCTGATGGCAGTGAGTGAGCCTGGGGCCGGGACGGGGTGGTGGCGACGACACAGCTATTGGGAGAGGCTGGCTGTGAAGGGCACAGAGGGGGCACAGGACACCGCAGCCAGAGGCATCCTTATCACCCCTGCTCACGGACCAGGGAGCCCTGTTCATATGCTTGCCTACTTTACTCAGGACACTATTCATTAAGGCCACTCCTTCCTTTACAAAGCTGCTCTCAGTCTACTATAGAGACTCTGTGGCAATGGCATTTGGGAGTCACTGTCACATCACTGTGAGGCTACGGAGGAGAGGATGAGGGTGGTACCATACCCATTATTTTGAGACATTTATAAAAAGCCCAAAGCACAATGAATCACATTTACTGCATTTTTGATTCAAAGGCAAAGCTACAGCATAAAAATTGCTCTAACACAGTGGTTGAAGAACTTGATCATTCCAAGGGTAGAGAAACCACCTCCACGATTTAGGTATCTGTATTATTCCTACCTCAAATAGTTTGTTCCACAGCCAGGATGAATTGGTAAAGACCCCAGTGGCGCTGGAGCCCAAAGCGATGTCCATGGCACCTGCAAGACACACAGTGTGGGTCAGTGTTCCGTCTCTTCACACACGATGGGTCCCTCTGCTACTCCCACCAAAACTTTAGCTCTAACCCTATTAAATGTCTCCTTCACTTCCAAAAATAGATAACCTTAGGAAATCCTTACACTATATATCTTTCCAGTTTCTCAAGCCACAATTCCCTTCAATTACTAGAGAAAAATGCGAAAAAGGAAGTAATATTGAATATCACCAATAACCCCATCTCAGGGATAACCATCACATTTTTTTATATTTCCTTTCAGATTTTTTCTAAACCATAATTAAGACCACACTGCATATGTTCAAATACATGTTCTATCTTTTATTCTTTAAACATTCATTCCTCTTTTATAAACAAATGTTTGAAAGTAGTTTTAATGATTTCAAAAGTCCACTGGGTAGAAATATCAAAATTTACTTATTATTGGATACTTAGGCATCACTAATTTTTCAATATTTCAAATCATACCTCAGTAAGTATCTGCTATAAGTTTGATGCCTTTTTTTTTTAAAGTCTGTTATTATTTTGCCATATTCATTTGTTTCATCTTTTTTTTCTTCTCCAACAATGCTGTGTCTCATTGGCTGATTTCAGAAATAAAGTTTAGAACCATCATTTCATTTTGTGAATGAGGTTACTGTCCCTGACCACCCAGCACCACAGTGATTAAACCGTCTCCAGAGAAGCGAGCAGTCTTTCAGGGTCAGATATCCCTGTGCCTTCGGGATGTTGGATTGTACATTTGTTTGAAGGAATCACAAGTAAATTGCATTACTAATTAGTTCATGGAAAAAACTGCAAACAATTGACAGTTTAAAACAAATCACTATTTTGACGTGGTGACCCTATGCAAAAACTTGAGATTCTCAGGACACTTGGCAGCGTGGGTCTGTTTGGGTCATTTGTTCTTTTGGGTTTGTTACTCTCTATCTCCCAATTCTCAAATCTGTTCACTTCCCTCCACCATGACTGTGACCATCATATACCTCAAGATTATGATAATAGTCTTTTAAAAAAACCTGTAGAAAATTTTAGATATACACAAAGTAAAAAGAATACCAAATTGAACATACAGGTACCCATTAGCTAGCATCAACATAATTCATAAGCAGACTTGTTTCATCTATACCCCATACCCAACAGATTTTGAAGCCAATCGTAGATACTGTAATATCCTTGACACACACACATATATCCACAAAAGTCAACTATACATGGCTTACCAGCCCCCAGTCCACTCTGACACTGCGGGGAGGTCCCTTTCATGGCACAATCATGACCTCACTGTCTACATGTTTAACACTCTTCCGTACTTCCTGCTGCATCGGCTCAGGACAGAACACAACATGCCAAGGCCAACCTGGGTCTGGCCCTACCAACACATCAGCCTCATGGGTCACCTACCGCAACCCCAGCCAAAATGTGCTCTTCTCCATCCCATTCACCGCTGCTTCCCCCGTGAGTCCCCACACGTGTGCCTTAGCTGCTGGGGTGCGCTTCCTTCCCCCCCTCTTCCACTCGGTCGGATGCCAGTGCTTCTCAGACAAGGTGCCTGACCTCCCAGCCTCCAAATCCCCAGCTGGAGGCTCCCACGCTCCTTTTAACTCAGCTGCTTATGCTGGTCACCTGCAACTCCAGTTGTCAGTGAGAGGATCTGCTGGCTGCCACTCAGCCGCCTCACATCTGCTCTGTCCCACCTAAAACCCAGCCACTAACAGCTAAATATGCCCCTGCTATCTACCATTTACTATGACAGGTGTTGGCTAATCCCTGCCTATGTGAGTGACTTGAGCACACACACTCATTATTGCTTTAGTTTTAAAGTCAGCGGTTTTTCCATATTTATACATTTGTTCTCAAAACATTCCTATTCACCCCAAAAGTTTTGCATTAGTGTTTAAATGTCTCAGAGGAAAATAAGCACTAACCTCAAACAAGAACATGATATGTTTTCTTAAAGGAATAGAAAATGATAATATTTAATACTAGAGGCCTGATGCACGAAATTTGTGCAAGGGGCTTGGTCCTTGCAGCCCCAGATGGTTGTTCTGCTATTCGGTCTAATTAGCATATTAGCTTTTTTATATAGGATGGTCCAACTGGGACCAGGACTCTAAAAGATGGTTTTAGATATGCTTCAGAACAAGAAGCTATCATACCTCTTCTATAGATGAAGTAATTGTCCAAAGTTGCAATCAGATTCTCTCTCTCTCTAAAGACTATGTACTTCCTCTGCCATGAACTCGGGGTTGGGAACTGTTTCTCATTCTCCCCTTTGACCGAGGCCAAACTTAGTTACCTGAGGCCAACTTTCAAACCTCCCCAAACCCTCAGGCTGGGAAAAAACGAGGGCCGTTATTCTTCATTTACAGAAAGAAGTATTACCACCCACCTCATCACGGCCCCCAAACACCCACCCCAGCACCTCCATCATTCAGCTCGAAGTGTTGGCTGAACTGAACAGGGAAACAAAGACTAGGAAGTTACATAATATAACGCCAGCTTTAAAAAGGACTCAGCAGCAGACCCATGCACACTGCCGGACGCACACAGATGGGGAAGAGCTCTGCTGAAGTAAAGGCTCACGTGACTAGGGGAAGAATAAGAACAAAGGATGAAAAATGATCTGAATGTTAATCTTAAGAGGCACAGATGGGATGAATCCCCAGAAAGGGAACTGTTGGATGAAAGATTATGAACACAGGGTTTCTGTATTAAGGCCAGGCCCGCTGTCAGCCCCTCAGAAACTTACCCACTATGCGGGCGCTACATTAAAGGGGCCTGCCCAAAACTCCCTCCAGTCTGCACAACTCTGCAAACAGACGGGCGCCCAGGTATTGATCCTCACAATTCCGCAAACAAATGTGCCCTCAGGTATTGATGCTCAAGGGGTCAAGTAACTTGCCCAAGGCTGACGGCCTAGTAAGGGGCACAGCTGGGAGTCACCCTGGGTTGTCATTAAAGCCAACCTGCTTCATGATACGCAGCCCTGCTTTCCTTAAGTGAGGATCTTGTTATCCACCCCCCTCATAATGTCTTTATTTCCATATAACCTCTAATACAAAAGCTCAGAGAGCTCAGTGCCATCAGACATATCATGATTAATTTTTTAAAAAACTATTGATTTTTGGATTTATCTTTTCAGATTTGTATCAAATGGTCATCATAACAAAACGACTCTTAGTATCGTTTTTTAGATGTCACTCTGGAAGGGCTGATCTGACCCACTTGTTATTTCTTGTTTTAAAGTTACAGTCTGGCATGTTTAAAGCAGTTTACAACTGCCACACCACGGCGCTGGTGAAAGATCTCTCAACACAAACTTCAGTAAACCCTGCCCTGAGCACAGCGTGTGCTCTGCACCAGCACAGGAGACCTTCTTCACACACCCGCGGGGAGAGCAGCTGTCTGACCTGTTAGGGTGGCGGCATTGATGATTAACTTTGGGTTAAAGGTGTGTGCATAACAGAGCGCGTCGGCCAGGATGAGTCTCCCCTCAGCATCGGTGTTATCCACCTGCAAAGAGGAAGGTAAAAAAGAGGGTTAGCTAGCACAAATACGAACATCAAAACCAGACACATCAAAAGTGAGAGAGTGCTGATGTGAAGCTTTTCACTGAGCATCAAACCATAGTTCTACTTCAGTTAGAATAAGGCATATGATTAATCTGAAGAGCAATTTATTCCTATAGAATAAAGAGGTGCTATGCAAATTGGCCATCACAGCCTCGCACAAGATGGCCACCCCCATGTGGTCACAAGATGGTCACCACAAGATGGCTGACAGGGGAGGGCAGTTGGGGGCAACTGGGCCAGCAGGGGAGGGCAGTTGGAAGTGATCAAGCCTGCAGGGAAGGGCAGTTAGGTATTGATCAGGCTGGCAGGGATGTGGTTAGGGGGCTATCAGGCAGGCAGGTGAGTTAGTTGGGAGCCAGCAGTCCCGGATTGTGAGAGGGATCCCAGATTGGAGAGGGTGCAGACAGGGCTGAGAGGCACCCCTCTCCCCCCCCACCCCCCGCATGAATTTTGTGCATTGGGCCTCTAGTAAGTTAATAATCCCTGTCCCAAGCTGATGACTTTGGAAGCTGAAATCAATACAAAGTGTCTGGTCCATTATATCTACAAGTTTATAACAGAAGGGTTAGAGATTTCAGGATTTCTGAAAACAAATAAGCTGAAGAGTTTAAGAAAATTACAGTGAGGTGGCAGCCAGAACTTCCAAACCCGAGAACTCTGCTGCTTCAGCAAATTTACATACGCCAGATTCCCCTCTTTCAAAAAGGCCCGATGGTCATGGGCAGCGGGTGTACACCATGTGCCCAGGAGTGCAGTGCCTGTGACTCCCCACTTCCCTCCCCACCCCCAACACACACCTACATGGGGAGAGCTGATCCTGGCTCAGGTGCATTAAAAAGCAGCCACACTTTCACTGCTCTGCTGTGCTCTGTGGGGCTCGCTGCAAATCTGTGGTAATGTGTGTGTATAGTTGACAGGATGTAGAAGGAATAAGGCAGGAAAACATTCTTAGAATTCCCATAAAGAAATACTTTTCACTTTGCATGAAAAGCCTCTTGAAATGAATACACCTCCCCGCTACATGGAGTCTGCACTCTGCACCGGTTCATGGTGTGTGTGTGTGTGTGTGTGTGTGTGTGTGTGTGTGGCTGTTGGGGTTCCCTTAGGAATGCCAGAATGGGGAGGGCTGTGTCTTCCATGTACAAACCTGAATGGTCTTTCCATTCTTGGCTTTAACGACATCTCCAGGCTTGTTGGCCTTCCCACTGGGCATGTTTTCACAAAGAGGAGCCAAACCTATTGGGGAAAAAATAAATGAACCGTGGAATATGCCAGGTCTAAATATGCCACTCACAGGAGGGAGGCCCCTGGTGGGCATCGGAGGCATCCATGCCACTCTTAAATTCTGCCATTCATCTACAGCCGTTACTCGGATGTATTTGCAGGTAAACAGCTTTAGAAAAATCCATGAGAAGGAATCTGATCTATTCTAACTTGCAGGCTTCAAAGGAGGTCATATCTTCTTAACCAAGTGATCAAATGTAGCATCACCCATGACCCAAGGACAAACACATCAGCAACAGAACAACACATCACCTACCCTGACTCTACCATGAACCAACCAAATTAATCCAAATCCTGGAACGTCATGAGACAAGCCTGGACCTTTCAAAAACACCAATGTCATGAAAGAGGGAAAAAAGGGCAGGTTGGGGTTCTAGATTAAAGAAAACTAGAGAGACATGGCAACCACAGGCAATGTGTGAGCCTTCTCTAGCTCCTAGTTTTCAAAAAATAAATAGAAATAAATAGATGTGTGTGTGTGTATACACACACACACACACACACACTGAACATTTTTTAGACAACTGGGAAATTTGAATTAGGTTACTGTATCAATCTTTGGAAATAATAATGATATTGTCATTACATAGAATGTCCTTGTTAAGAGACATGCTGAAGTATTCAGGGGTGACAAGTCAGGATGTCTGCTACTTACAGTTTAGCAAAAAAAAAAAAAAAAAAAAGGTGACTATGGCCCTAACCAGTCTGGCTCAGTGGATTCGGCCTGTGGACTCAAGGGTCCCTCCCAGGTTCGATTCCGGTCAAGGGCATGTGTCTTGGTTGCAGGCACATCCCCAGTAGGGAGTGTGCAGGAGGCAACTGATCGATGTTTCTCATCGATGTTTCTTACTCTTTATCCCTCTCCCTTCCCCTCTGTAAAAAATCAATAAAATATATTTTTTTAAAAAACATCTATCTATCTATCTATCTATATATATATATATATATATATATATATATATATATATATATATAATTTTTTTTTTTTTTTAAAGGCGACTATGATATTAAAGGGGGTTGGGGGAAGTCAGACAGACCTGGGTCCCATTCTAATTTCCGTGCTACGGAGGTGATACACAGGGGAGACTCCCAGCATTGTTCCGGCATCCTGTACTGCACAGAGAGCTGTGCACAGAGCCCTTTCTCAGTCTCAAGCATTTGCTTTGTATCGTGGCGTTTAATCAGCCACAACCCTATGCTGCGGTCACTAAAGGATCCATCCATTTCCTTCCACCCTGACGCCTGGGCACTTTCCGCTGGAGGAAAGCACACACTTGACCTGATGTGCCCCTGGCGGCTAACCACTTTTTGCAGAAGTAAAACAGATGGATTCTAGTTACAGCCCATGATTGCAAAGTACAGTTAATCAGTTCAGGAAAGACTTATTCCCGCTAAACAGCTTCTGCTTGATGAAAAGCTATTTCAAAACCCATGAGGAGGTCATATCTGTGGACTGAAAGGTCCTGACCTGTCTGGCTAAGAGGAAACCATGGCATTATGTCAGTTCTACCCCTGGACTGGTTTCCAGGACACCGGCCTCCACCTGCTCCACCCTGCCCACTCACCGATGAGGTTAACGGGCAGGCCGAGCTTGGCGGCGGACACGATGGCCGAGCAGATGGTGGCAGCTCCTCCCATGTCAGCCCTCATGAGGTCCATGTTTGCGGAGGGCTTGATGGAGATGCCGCCGCTATGGGGGAAGAGGACACCATGCAATGTTTACACAAAGGGGAGAATCATCGATCAGCTGCCTCCTCCTGGGGATGTGCCTGCAACCAAGGTACATGTCCTTGACTGGAATCGAACCTAGGACCTTTCAGTTCACAGACCGATGCTCTATCCACTGGGCCAAACTGGTTAGGGCAATAAGCACATTTCTTACCTGCAGAAGGTCCACAGTGCCTACCTCGTAGGGGTAGGTCAGGGCTAATATATGTAAAATGCCTCACAGGGTCTCTAATACACAGTAAACATTTTATAAATGGCAGCTTAACACATTCAAAGTGAACATATATGAAAAAAAATAAATAAATAAATAACCCTAGCCAGTTTGGCTCAGTAGATAGAGTGTCAGCCTGTGGAGTGAGGGATCTCGGGTTTGATTCTGGCCAAGGGCACATGCCCAGTTTGTGGACTCACTCCCCAGTAGGGAGCATGCAGGAGGCAGCTGATCAATGATTCTGATGTTTCTGTCTCATTCTCCCTTCCCTCTGAAATCAATAAAGAAATACATAAGAAATATATAAAATATTTAAGTAAAATAAAATAAACAAAAAAAGAGAGTGAACATATACGAGATGACCAAACACTATGCTTTTGAAGCGAACCACACACCAAATAATACAAGTGCATGCAAAGCCTTCGCCAACACACAGAGCACAGACACAGTACAGACCTACCTATCGAAGGTAATCCCCTTCCCAACAAACACCAGCGGTGCGTCGCCTGCGTTGGGGCTGCCTCTGTAGTGGATTTCCAGGAAGACCGGAGGCTCATCGGACCCTTTGGCCACACTCAGGAACGATCCCATTTCCTGTTCCTCAATCCAGGACTTGGGTCTACCGGGCAGAGAGGGAAAGAAGTAAATACACTTTGTGGTCTCTATTTCAAAATGACTCAGAAAAAGCTCATCCATAACAAAGTCTAACGTACAAGCTGTTAAAATATGCATACATCAGTGCTTCGATAACATGTCCCAGTTTCTCTCATTTTTGGGCAAATTACTTGTTTGAGTCTGTTTCCTCATCTATAAAATTAGGTCAACTATACCTCCATCAAAAGATTAGCTACAGAATTACTAAGAGAATTCATCCCTGGTACGTAATATAATATCTGTTAATAATGCATATTCAATAAATGATTACTTGATTTTTCCCTCCTAACCTACTCACATAGTTTTAAAGTTTAAGTCTCTGAGACCATAAAGGGTACTTAAAGATAGGTAAAGGGGGTCCATTGCTTTACTGTTTGGTATTTCTAAAAAAAGACAAAGACAATCAACTAAAAACAACTAAAAAAAAAAGAATCAAAAAACCAAAAAACACAACAGCAAAGCTATGCTTTACTGTTTCTGTTTATATAAATATATCCTCTCTCTGTGTGTTTTTACAATTGCTGGAATCCAGTCTTTTCCATGTCATCACACTATTTCTCATGGTTTCAATCCCAGCTCCAGATGTCTGACTGCAGCAGAGAAACTAATTGCTTATTAACTCACAAGCACAGGACCTGCAGGGTGAGAACGGGAACAGTCCTGTGTGCCAATCAGACCCAGAGGCCGCCTCACTATTCTCCGGGGCTGGGCACAAAAGGGCTCTGTGCTGCCTCCCATCCACCTAACTAGGCCGAGAGAAACCCTACACTCCTTCCGGCCGGCCAGGGCGCCCTAGCCAAGGAACGCTCCTCTTCACTGCTTATCTACTTGTTGAAACTATTAAAGTAGGAGTTGTTATGGAGAGATGGCCACTGAATTTCAGAGGGAAAAAGAACATAAAAATGGCCCAGCCAGTGTGGCTCTGTGGTTGAGCATCGACCTATGAACCAGGAGGTCAAGGTTCAATTCTGGGTCAGGGCACACACTCGGGTTGTGGGCTCAATCCCCAATAGGGGGGTGTGCAGGAGGCATCCCATCAATGATTATCATCACTGATATTTCTATCTCTTCTTCTCCCTTCCTCTCTGAAATTAATACAGATATATTAGAGAAGAATATAAAAATGGGAGGTATGGCAATAAAAAAATCACTTCAAAAGCAGCAAGGCTGCATCGCGTGGGGACTTTTAGTCACGGACTCAGCCATGGATGTTTTATGAAAGTGCTGCCTTCCCGGAAGCGCTGTGTATACGCCAGCACCTGAGTGGGCCTGGTGCAGTGTCTAGTTTAATGGGTCAGACTACGCCCACCTGCCCCTGCCGGCTGCCCTTTGCTCCACCACAGACACAGGCCTGTGGTTTCCCGGGGGGTCTCTGCACCCCTGCTCCTCCTGGCTGTCAGAGACATCACCCTGAATTACCTGATGTGGACTTCTGTCTTACTGCTAGCACTTTTGAGATTCTTCTCGATGATTTCAGCAAATCTAGTGGGCGTCATCTCGTTGGCAGGACTCTCCATCAGCTGGCGTGCCAGGTTCTGCCCGGAGGCAAAGAGGACCCCCTTCTGCCAGGCCTCCAGGTCGCCGCTGGCGGAAGGAAGCACGGGGTCACGGTCAGACCACCTCTGGACACACTGACACGTCGCAGCTTGTAGAAGCAAGAGGAAGGCTACACAGACCGTGGACCTGAGGACCAGACTCACAGTCCGGGGTCTGACCCACGGTGGCCGACAGTGCGGGGCAAAGAGCTAGAAAACACAGCCCCCACTGTGTGAGCTGGGAGAGCCGGGCAAGCACATCACCCCAGAATCCGCAGCGTAAAAAAGGGGTTGGCCCTGATCCACCGCACAAGCTGATGCCAGAGGTTCCCACAGCAGAGCCATTCTGTCCCCGTCCTCTGCAGCAGGAGGGACGCCCCCCTGAGAGCTAACTGTTGAGGGCGCACCGCTTGATGCTGAAGGGGAACTGAAGGCCCATCTGTCTACCTTTTGCCTGGGAAGGGCTCTGAACGCCGGCCCACCAGAGGGGAGACTCAGCTGTAACAGAGGAAGGACAAGGCCCTGTTTCGAGCCCAGCTCTTCCTGCGCACAGGAGGAATGCATGTGAGCAGCATGGCTAGAACAAGAGCGCCTCGTTTGGGTGTGCTCGCCAGCTGTGCGTTTTGATGGTCATGAGCCCTATGAACGCGGAATCACAATGCCAGGAAGCAAGTGAACGTGGAGCACTGAGACACCTCGGGCACTTAGCTGCGGTGCCAGCCGGTGAGTGGGGGAGCCAGGCTGATGGGTCGCAGACCCCTCACTCTTAACGGCGACAGCATCGCTGCCAACCACCAGGCTGTGCCAAGATCCCCACTCCACAGCGCCATCCCCTGAAGGGCTCACAGGGTCTGTTCCTGACCACAGGGACCTTGTTCCCCAAAACCCACGACAGAGCTGGCAGGTGGTAGGTTCTCAGTAAATCTCCTAAAAGGTGAGTTTTTCCAGGAGACCCTAAGGGCCAGGCCTGCATGCCTGCAAGTGAGTAGCTCTGGTGTCTGGCACAGTGCCAGCAGGTGCTGGTGAAATGGGAACCCACTGGGACCGGGCCTCTTGTCCCCTCCCTCTTTGGGGAGCCAACCTGGCGTGGTTCCCTAGTAACCAGCAAGGATGGAGGGTCCGGGGAGTCATGGGGGGACACGCACATGATGAAGGCCAGGAGCAGAGAGTGGGGACGGGCACCAGACTCTTAAATAGCCACGGTGATGGCGGAGACTGCAGATAGTGGAGATTGCAGCCAGCAGTGCCCGATGCCAAAAAGCAGGCAGCTCCTATGCAAGAGGCCCCGCTGTCAGAGTAGCGGGAATGCGATCCCGATCCCGGTCTGTTCCCTCACCTTCCGTGCAGCTTCGCCGATACGGTCGGCTTCTTCTTCTGTTTCAGGTCCTCATACTCGTAGAGGCCGAGCACTGCCCCCTCCGCGGCCGCCTGGGCATCGCCGCAGGGGTCCACCTCCACGGAGGAGATCTCCAGGTCCTGGAACTGCCTGCACCCCGCTTCGTACGGACAGAGGAAGCGGAAAACAGGAGTCAGCCAGAGACAGCGGGGGTAGCAGAGGCACGGTGCAATGTGCCGAGGAAACGGCAGGGCTCGCCAAAACCGGTCTGGCTCAGTGGATAGAGCGTCGGCCTATGGACTGAAAGGTCCCAGGTTTGATTCCAGTCAAGGGCATGTACCTTGGTTGCGGGCACATCCCCAGTAGGGCGTGTGCAGGAGGCAGACGATTGATGTTTCTAACTCTCTATCCCTCTCCCTTCCTCTCTGAAAAATCAATGAAATATATTTTTTTTTTAAAAAGAAAGAGAACAGCAGGACTGGGCTTCAAATCCCATCTCTGCCACTTGACCTCTGTGAGCCTCCGTTGCCTCTGAGATAAACTGAGGGTGTGCACACGCCCTAGGGAGGACAGGCCGACGGATAAAATGACTGGTCTGGCTCCTACAGAGCCACTCTGATTACTAACCGGTATTTCTTCTGAAACACCAGGATTTCCCGATGAAGCGAAGTGTCCTAACCACCAGGAACTTGCCAGATTAAAAATGACCAAGGGATGAGATGGGAATTCTATCGGAGGGACTGGGCGAAGTCTATTACTGACACCGCCCTTTATTAAGATCAGCTCAGCAAACACTCCCAAGTCAAAGGTGTGACGTCGTCAGTCACCATGAACTTTGAAAGTGAAGTGAACGAGCATATGTGATACACAGGGGGCCAAAGACCGAGGGAGCCAACTCTCCCCGCCCCGGCAATGCTGCTCACAGCATCCTGACCAGCGTCTGCGGCGGGGGCCTCGTCCTGTCGCTCAGCTCCGGGGGACTCAACGGCAGCTCCCTCAACGGTAAACCAGCCCCACGAGGCAACTAGGGAGAAACAAGCACCCCACACCCTGTGTCCATTTTCTCTGATTTGTAAATACGATGTCTCTGTGTGGCTTAAAGCTGGGTGACACCAGAGCTGCATTAGAAAAAGAAGTGGTGGGGGGATCCTAGTAAAATAGAACCTCCGATTTCAATACTGTGGGAGCGAACAAAGGGTCGTGAAACCTCCAAACACAAGCTAAAGAAATAGAAAAACAAAACTCCATAAGCTAACTATTGGTATCTAATGTAAGGCCGAGCATGCTGGGTAAGGGAAACTGCGTATGCAGATGAGTTATTTCTCTGTGAACATGGTAGGGGTGGTGATGGTCAGGGGACCAAAAGAGGGGACACAGAGTAATCTTAAAGAGCAGATCCTTAGAAATCCCCACCAGTGTCAAACCTCAAAAGGAAAATAACCTGCAACGGCCACTCTGATGTTTTCTTTGCCTTCGTGCCAGTTTTCCTTGTCATCCACGCCAGCCCCCTTTCTGCCGAGGCCAACCAGCACCACACTGGAGAAGTCCTGTTCCGGAAACACACAAAATCAGCCACTTTGTATCTTTAAAGCATCCTATATAATAAAAGGCTAATGTGTAAATCAACCGAATGGCAGAACGACAGGTCACCAGGGGGCAGACCTTCAACCAGAAGCCAGGCTCACAGCTGTGACCACAGTGGTAGTGGCGGGAGTCTCTCCACGGAATCACTAAGGATGTCCAACTGATGGCTCAGCGGGGAGCGGGCCTAAGCCATCAGTCAGACATCCCCTGAGGGTTCCCGAACTGTGAGAGGGTGAAGGCTGGACTGAGGGGACCCCCCCCCTTCCCCTGAGTGCATGAATTTCATGCACCAGGCCTCTAGTTCATTATATCTTTAAAGCATTCAGGGAATGGTCTCTGAGGTCAACTACCATAACCTTAGCACATGGCAAAATCAGCGTCACATTTGGTTGCTGGGTTTTTTGAGTCCTGTACTTTGTTTAAATCTCATAACGTGTGTTTGAAAAGTAGATGCTGAGGATAATCCTGCGAATAATTCTATGTAAGAGTGCCCCAGCTCCCATAACCGAACAACAACAACAACAAAAACAACCTACAGATTAAGCGATACAAGAGAGGAGATGCTTGCTGACAGCGAGTCACTTCTATACAACCTTAAACAGGACTTAAGGCTTAATACCAGGACAGAATAATGCACACAACCCGATACAACATTTTCTGCCCGGCCACGCAGTCACGGTCCTTGGCATGGACTAGGTGCTCACTAAAGGTTTGCCAAGCCTATCTTCATCTCATACCTCGTGCAGACCATAAAAGGTTCGGGTTTTGCCTGCTTTCAGCGGAGGTCCCGATCTGAAACAAGAAACAGTTGTTTAAAATATAAGTTTGTTCTGTTCCTGAGAAGTGATATATACAGTGCCCAGCATGCTTCCGAGAATTTTCATCTGCATACATATAGCAATATTAAAATACTCTGCTGCCAAAAAAAAAAAAAAAAAATACTCTGCTGCTTCTGTGAATTTGCTGCACTACGTTTTTTATCAAAATACAGAATTTTCTGAGGCCAGAATTCTCAGATGCAGCGCTTCTAATTCTAGCTCAAAAACTACTTAGCATCCAGGTTAGACTGAACACAAACTTACCTGAAAAAAAACACAGAAAGCAATGCCACGGATGGAAAATGTGTGGCTGCAGAGGAGAATGGAGCACTGGAGTGGAACCCTAATTCTTTTTAATAAAGATGTCAACTTCAGGGGCTGGCCTGCCTGCGGCGTGTTTGGTGGGAGGTCACTGATGGGGGCTAATCTGCAAATGGGAGACCAGGCCATTTCCAAACCAACCAGGGGGCAATGCTTGAGAGCTTTCGGTCAAGAAGGCTGTCCTGCACTCCAACAGGTCAGCTTTGGGATTAATGAACTAATCCTCTAAATTAAGTGGAGGTGTGAATTCTGTTATCCAATGATCAATTTCTATCATTAGTAAGACTACATGTATTAGATGCAAGAAATGATCTGTGACCTGAACAAGATGTAGTTGCAGAGGCTTATGCTGACACTTCTATTCCTGTAGCTCAGGACTAAGAGATCCCAGTGTTTCCCCACCTTCTCTAGACCCTGGTTAACCCGAGAGGCCAAAATCTCAGGACCACCCGGTTCACTGAACGAGAGCCCGCATTCTTGCTGCACCCTCAGATGACCTGCATGTTCTGGAACATTCGAGAAGCTCTAGAACTCCAGATAAGCCATGCAGGGTGCAGCCCCCTTAGGCTGCTCTGACCCAGTCCAGCAACCCTGGCCTCCCATAAGCAAAGGGGAATTAAAGGAAGTAAGAGAGGCTGTGGGGAGGCGAGCTGGTGGATAGGATGAGGGTGAGAGGAAAGGAATCTGGGGCCTGAGGAAATCTGGTATTTTCCAAACCCTCCGGGGTCAGTCTATCACAATAACTCTGTGATGTGGCTGAAGTGGCCTGACTTCCCAGAACTGGGGACCCACCCATACTGAGGCAGCTTTCACTTTCACTGAGCAGACGGTGCCCGGCATGCCTCCAAGAATTTTCATCAAACAATAGAGCACAGCCGAAACCAAAACCGGTTTGGCTCAGTGGATAGAGCGTCGGCCTGCGGACTGAAGGGTCCCGGGTTCGATTCCGGTTAAGGGCATGTACCTTGGTTGTGGGCGCATCCCCAGTGGGGTATGTGCAAGGGGCAGCTGATCAATGATTCTCTTTCATCGATGTTTCTAACTCTCTATCCCTCTCTCTTCCTCTCTGTAAAAAAATCAATAAAAATATATTAAAGAAACAAAAAAGAACAATAGAGCACAGAAGAAATATTCCGTTTTGTCTCAAGGCATTTTAAAACCCAGAACCCGTAGGCAAATACTTACATGTTCAGGATTTCTCTCAGCTTCCCAGACACCAGTTTATCAAAATTCTCTCCTGCACTTGTAAACGGTGGCACATCGTTGTCTTTTTCTCTGCTGTAGATCCCTAAAACAAGTCCCTGAGAATAAGAAAGGGAAAAAAGAAGAAGAAAATCTGAGTCCCCAAATTCCGGAAGGAGCAAATCATTCCATGCAAACCGTGTCCCCATCGGAGAGAACAAAGCCAAAAATGCAGGTGCTGGGAGCCCTGCCTCCATGTTTCCAATTCCTGCCTGAGCAAGACAGGAACTACCACGCATCCTGGGGCTCTGTGGTCCTTTCCCATGGTTCTCACAACATAAGGGCCTTCCTTCACATTAAACTACCATATTTTCCGGCGTACAAGACGACCCCCTAATTTCACAGTTAAACCATAGGGTTAGGCCTATATTCGCTGTATAAGACTACCCCCCACTTCCGAGGCAACACCAGTTCTTTTTTTAATAGACCGCCTCTCTGACTCTGGCCAAACTGAGCAGGCTTTTTACTAGAACACAGTGTAGCTTCGGGTACAGAACATGTACACTGTGTTCTAGTAAAAAGCCTGCTCAGATTGGCCAGAGTCAGAGAGGCGGTCTATTAAAAAAAGAACTGGTGTTGCCTCGGAAGTGGGGGGTAGTCTTATACAGCGAATATAGGCCTAAACCTATGGTTTAACTGTGAAATTAGGGGGTCATCTTGTACGCCGGAAAATACGGTAAGAGCAAAAAAGGTGTTTTGTTTAAAAAACCCAATTTCCTCTGTAACCAGGCCAGAGGGGTTAAGAACACGCTGCTCCACACTATGCCAAACTTGTCAGATTACTCTGAGCTGCAGGGACCCGGGAGACAGACATAGGAAGGGCTCTCTGACCTCCCACTTCCTACCCAAAAGCAGGTCGTGAGATTTCCCACGAGAAAGGTGCTCTCCCTTTACTAGCCAGAAGACACTGTTATCACCAGAGACCGGGAGTGGACAGCAAAACGGACCTGGATAAACAAACCTGCTGAAATCACCCTTCTCTGCCAATGGTTTCCTCCCACCTGGTTCCTGGTCACGGTGTCATAATTCACTGCCCTAGAGCCCAGGCCCCTTTGTCTATCACTGCCCCACAACTTTCCATTCTCTGTTTAAAAAGGTATGTCCAGCCGAACCGGTTTGGCTCAGTGGATAGAGTATCGGCCTGTGGCCTGAAAGGTCCCGGGTTCGATTCCGGTCAAGGGCATGTACCTTGGTTGCAGGCACATCCCCACTATGGGGTGTGCAAGAGGCAGCTGATCGATGCTTCTCTCTCATTGATGTTTCTAGCTTTCTATCCCTCTCTCTTCCTCTCTGTAAAAATCAATAAAATATATTTAAAAAAAAAAAAAAAAAGTATGTCCATTTGGGGGCCCTCAAGGCTTTGGAGTCTTTATTTTCCTTTTGAAGACTCCCATATTCTCTATAACACCAAACAGAACTTGTATGCTTTCCTCCTGTTGGTCTAATGTCTGTTTCATTCTTCCATCCAGCCACAGGACCCAGGAGAGCAAAAGGAGGTTTTTCCTCCCCTACAACCTTCGAAGGCAAATCTCAGATGTGCTGGGGTGCTGTCCCGGCCGGCAAAGCCAGTGGCTGCACCCGCCAATGCGAATGAGAACTCTGGCCCAGCACACAGACTGGAAAAGAGGTTAGGATGTCACCTGTCAAAGAGGGGCAGGGGCAGAGCGTCCCCCGGGCCCCAGGGAAGTGACATAAGGACGTCAGCACAGAAATCTCTATCTGCCTTTGCCCGGCAAGGTATGGCTTTCCACGTGTTTTCTGCCTGAAGGCAGCTCTGAGAGCCGGAAAGAATGCTCGGTCTTCTCACCTGACCGACGAGGAAACCAAAAACCTGGCCTGACATTCTAGCCTGGGTGCCACGGAGCTCTGCCAGAGCCCTGAGCCCTGACCCCTTCCGCTCAGCCCTCCCTCCTCTACAAAATCACACTGAGCCAAGACCGGTTTGGCTCAATGGATAGAGCGGCAGCTTGGGGATTGAGGGGTCCCGGTTCGATTCCAGTCAAGGGCATGTACCTTGGTTGCGGGCATATCCCCAGTAGGGGGTGTGCAAGAGGCAGCTGATCGATGACTCTCTCTCATCAATGTTTCTAACTATCTCTCTCCCTTCCTCTCTGTACAAAATCAATAATATATATATATATATATATATATATATATATATATATATATATATATATATTTTTTTTTTTTTTTTTTTTTTTTTAAATCACACTGAGACCAGATTGTGTTCTTCCCATCCAAGAAAACGGGCTTCCTCGGCCAGGTTCTTGCTTTCCCGAGAGGCTGTTCCTGGGAAGGGGAACTGCAGCCGGGAGACAGGGATGTCACCTGGGGAGGAGGCGCCCGGGTTCCGGGGAGAGCAGGGACAGGCGTCTGGCCCCCCTGCCCTCCGACACAGCCTGAGCCCTGAGCTCAAGCCCTTTCTAGAACAGTCCTCGCAGGGACAGTCGCTTATTTCGGGTCCTCAAGCATGCACCCTCCACCCATCCATTCCCCCTCCCCGCTCCTCCACAGCCCAGCAGTGATCTTCATAATTTTGGGGGGTAGTTCAATGAGGTGAAGAGGGCTTTTCCTCCCGGAAACACCCTCCTTTTAATCCCGCGCAGAGATGGGTCTCTCTGCAAAGCCCTTTCCCCAGAGGCATTGTGTTCCCGCAGAAAACCCCTCGGCGGAGCGGTTTGCCCAGGGTTTCCCGGCCAGATTCAGCCGAGGAGGCCCGGCGGGGGTGGAGAGCCCTGCTGACCCTCTCTGGGGCCTTAGATGACCTCTCACCTCAGCACTCTGGGGCTCCCTCCTGGCTAAGGGGGGGACCACCACCGGCACCATGCTTTCCGGGGTTCCTGCGGAGACCACCCCAAATAATGAAGTCATGGCGAGACTCGGTGGGAGCCCAGGAAACCGCAGCTGAGGCCATTCTCTCCGGCCCGGAGTTCGGACCCCCGCACGCCTCCATGCCAGGCTGGAGATGTGTGGGGTGCTGGGCAGCCCCCGCCGCCGGCCGGCCGTGCCCAGGCCGAGCTCTGCAAAGGGAGGGACCTCTTCTTTTTGTGCCCATTTTGGCAATCTGGTGCAGAAGCCGGGGTCACCGCGACCTCGACCCACGCCGCAGCCCCCGCCGCCCGCGGGCAGGGCTCCCGGGGCGCCCCCGGACCGCGCCGCCGCCGCCTCTCACCTTCGTCATGTCTGCGGTGCCCAGACCTCGACTCCACAAACGCTTCGCCCCCAGACGTCCGACGGCGACTCGCCCCGCGGCCGGAAGAGGCAGCAAGAACATCTTCTCGGCTCGGCCCCCAGCACCGCCCTTCAACGAGCACGTGGCGAATGGAGGGCGGGCGGGCGGCCGGGGGCGCGGCCTTCGGGGCGGCGGGCGCGCGCCCAGGGGGCGGGGCAGGGACCCAGGAGTGGGCGGGGCGGGCGCCAAGGGCGGGGCAGAAGAGCGGCGAGGGGCGGGGCCTTCGGGGCGGCGGGCGCGCTCAGGGGGCGGGGCAGCTACTAAAGAGAGGGCGGGGCAGGAGGGCGTTTGGGGCGGGGCTTTAGGATGCGGGCCAAAGAAGGCGGGCCTTAGGGGCGGGGCGGGATCTAGGGGCGGGGCTTTCGGGCTCAGGGGGCGCGCTCAGGGGGCGGGGCAGGTGCCAAAGAGTGGGCGGGCAGTAGGGCGTTTGGGGGCGGGGCTTAAGAATGCGGACCAACGAGGGCGGGCCTTAGGGGCGGGGCGAGTACGTAGGGGCGGGGCTAGCGTTTCTGTCCCGAAAGCCTGCGTGGTCGCGGGCGGGGGGGCGGGGAAAGTGGGGGGATGGGCGTGAGTCTGTGGCTGGGACTCAGGTTGCCATGGTGCGCGTGCGCCATGCCGTGGGGCTCGGAAAGGCGGGGCCCTGGTTCAAGCTCCCTAGCGGGGGCGGGGTCTCAGCTATTACGTAACGAGGCGCGGGGGATGGAGGCGGGGCTCTGGGGGAGGGGGCTAGAGACACCGGGAAATAGAGAATGTAAGTGGCTCTACAGTGGAGGTCTTGTGGTAGGAATGAGGCTCCCACAGTTTGTTTGTTTAGTTCCTGCCCTTTTATTTGTTTTCTTCAGTTTCTTGGAACTTACATCTGGTCCAACTTGTAGGGTGGTTAACCCAAATACTGTTTTGAAGATAGGAGCTTTGTGAATAGTGCTCAATGTTTTAATATATTTTATTTTTTAAAAGGTGTTTAAAATACTGTGTGGTTAAAAAAAAAAAAAAAAAGGACACGGTTGAAGGCAATTCAGAGAACATGGGAAGCTCAAGGAGGCATCGGAAAGCTATCCTATGTGTGACACCTGGTCCTGGTTTTAAGTGTGTCTTTGTTCTACCTAGCTCAGGGTGGGCGGGTAGGCGGTATACACCACCCAAGTGCGCACTCTCTGCCTTGGTCTGAGTCTCAGGAAGGAGACTGTCTATGAAGAGGGCTGGCCGAGCAGAGATTTGACTGTCCTTTCCTGGAGGCTGGGAGAGTCGGCGGTGATAGTCCTCTTTGGCTTCCACCTCCTTTAGATAGCTAAAGAAGAGTTGCATCATAAACTCAGTAAACTCTCCAGAATTCATCTATATTCGCTTTGAAAAGAGAGAAATCGTTGTGAACACTTTAGAACTCTGTTCTTGTTTCAATGAGATCAAGCTGCAGTTTCCACAACCAAAAATTAAGTGCTGAATCCTGTCTCCCAACCTTGTCTGTGAACTTCAGAGTTGGCCATGACGCAGAGTTGTCCCTACCTACAATCACCTGAGTTTCTTCCCTTCGTTTTACTTCTCTGCTGCACCCACAAGAAATAACTTCCTTCCTGGCATATCCTCATTTGCTTCAAGGACTACAGTGTGTGCATTTTCATGTGCCTAATAGGATATGGGAGAAAGAAATTTCACAGCCTCCAGAAGACTTTTGTCCTTTCTGAACAGTATCAGGAGTGTATTGTCCACTTTGGGATGTAAAAGTCATCCACCAAACTCTTAATTACAAAGTATTCACTGTATTTTTCTGTTGGAAACTGTGGGATAAGACAGAATTTGTGTCCCTGGCCTCCAAGACTTTATGATCTAGTAGAGACCAGATACAGGATGACTATAAAGAGATAAAAAAAAAATATTGACAATGTTCATACAGCCACCTGTGTGCATGCTCCAGTTCTTTCTGCCCCCTTCTCTGTGTGACCAAGGTTTTGGTCTATGTCATGCCCTCCAGAAAACCTTCACGGATATTCCACATCTGGGTTACTCGCCCTCCCTATGCCCCTAGAGCAGTTTGTCTCAAAGTGCTAATCATTGTGTGCTCATTGTTTGTAACCTTGAGGCCTCTTGGAAGCTGAGACTTTCTCAAAATGAAACTTAGAACCTAGACTGTGGCTGGCACGTGCACGTGCACACACACACACACACACACACACTCACACACACACACACACACACACACACACACACACTCACACACACTCACACACACACACACTCACACACACACACAGAGCATTCATAAAATGTTTGAATGAATGCATGATCAAGGCCAACTCGATGTAGCATTGATAATTAAAGTAGGTCCCACTTGTGTCCTTCAGGTAATAAATGCAAAATATTAAAAGCGTGAAGCGAACCAGTAGATCAAAAAGGATGCAGATGATTAAGGAGGACATCAGGACATGGAGGGGTGTGTGGGAAGGTGTTGGCTTGGCTTGGGGTAAAGGGGTCAGGGCTGGAATAAAAGGTGGTCATAAAAGACAGTGATGCTGGATTAAGGAAGATTTTGAAAGGCTAACAGAGGCTGCTGTTGGCAGCAGAAGCCAATCGTGGCTGACTCAGCAGAAGGGTGAATTAAAAGGGAGGCACGAGGGCCAGAGAAAAGAGCTTCCAGAAACAATGCCCTAGTCCTGCCCCTGACTCATCTGATGAGCAAACTGCCCCTCTGCCCAAGTCACTGCGTAGCAGGGAACTATACACACAGGTTACACACTGTCAATCTCCTGGTTTTGATATTGTGCTGTGGTTATATATTTGTGGGAAAACCAAGTGACGAGCAAACAGAACCTCGTTGTACTTTCTTTTCTTTCTTTCTTTCTTTTTTTCTTTCTTTCTTTCTTTCTTTCTTTCTTTCTTTCTTTCTTTCTTTCTTTCTTTCTTTCTTTCTTTTTAAATATATTTTAATGATTTTTTACAGAGAGGTGGGGAGAGGGATAGAGAGCTAGAAACATCAATGAGAAAGAAACCGATCAGCTGCCTCCTGCACACTCCCCACTGGGGATGTGCCCGCAACCAAGGTACATGCCCTTGACCAGAATCGAACCTGAGACCCTTCAATCCACAGGCCGACCCTTCAATGGAGACCCTTCAATCTCCATCCACTGAGCCAAACCAGTTAGGGCTCATTGTATTTTCTTTTCAACTTTCTGTGAAGCAATGGTTTTTGTTTTGTTTTTGTTTTGTTTTTTGTAAAAAGCTAAGGAAAAATAGCAGTGTGTATCAGCCAAACAAACAAAAACATCTCCGCTTCCCTGGTGCCCACAGTCCCCTCCAGGAATCACCTCTTTCTCTGCTTCTTTACAGCCAAATTTATTTGAAGCATTTTCTCTGGCTTATGTTCTCCATATCTACCTTTTCTGTTACTCCATTCATGAATCTTAATCTATAATTATTGTCAGCTGAATCCAGTGGGATAGTAACAGCAAGAAAGGAAAGGAGGAGGTGCAGAGACACAATGTGCCACTTCGCAGAGCTTGGATGGGCAGGTCCTGGTGACATAAGAAGAGGAAGAGGCATTTGAACCAAGACCTTGGAAGAAAATGGCGGCAGCTCTTCTTTATGTTGCTCAAAGAACTGAGCAGCCCTCAGTCCACCAACCTTTCCTAGAAGGTCCCTCAGGGATGTCAAGTAAAATAACCAGTTTTATTAGCTAAAAATTTTAGTGCATTAATTTACTCTTCAACTGTTTGTAGGTGCCCATTATGTTATATGCACTGTTCTAGGTTCTAGGGATACACAAGTGGACAGGATCTCTTCCCTCATATAACTTAATTTTGAAGAAGGACGTAAAATAAATCAATTAAAATAAATCAATTAAAAATAGATAGTATGCTGAAACCGGTTTGCCTCAGTGGATAGAGCGTCAGCCTGTGGACTGAAGGGTCCCAGGTTCGATTCCGGTCAAGGGCATGTGCCTTGGTTGCAGGCACATCCCCAGTAGGGGGTGTGCAGGAGGCAGCTGATCGATGTTTCTAACTCGCTCTTCCTCTCTGTAAGAAATCAATAAAAAATATATTTTTTAAAAAATAGATAGTATGTCAGTGTAGATGAATGCTCTGGAGAAAAAATAAAGTAGGAAACAGGGAAAGGGCTTGGGTGGAAACGAAAGTGATTTTCATGGAGTGTCAGGTAAGGCCTCACTGAACAATAACGTTTGAGCAAAGACCTGAAGGAAGCAAGGGGTGAGTGAGACAGAAACCTGTGAGCATCACTTCTGGCAGAGCAAACAGCAAGTGCCCAGGCCCTGTGGCAAGAGCCTTCCTGGCTTTTTAAAGACACAACAAGGAGGCAAGTGGGAAAGGAGCAGAGAATTGAGGACAAGAGCTCAGAAAATGACTGGTTAGAAGTGGAGAGACCAGATCCCTTCTCAGACATTGTAAATCTGAAAAGCAGAGGAGTGACATGAGTAATGAGCATTTCTTTAATTATTGTCAGCTGAATCCAGTGGCGTTGGCAGAGCCACGTCCTGGAAACACACCTTGCCAGAGGCAGGTGTGTTGTCAGCTTGACCTTCATCTCAGGCTCTGGGGATGGGTTTCATTATCTAAATTCAGCCAAGCACCAGGAACAAACATGATTATCCAAGCCCACCCAGAAGTGACAATTACAAAGAACCCACAAGAATGCACATAATTTCCTTAGTCTGGAGCTTTAGTAAAACTTCCTGTTTTTTGCTGTATAAAATAAACATGCTATATTGGCTCTGGGCCATGTCTCTCCATCAGAGGACAGCTGTCCCATCTGGCCCCAGCTTTTTCCTTATATCTTTGTGCCTGTCTCTTTCTTTCAATTTCTCAATCTCCAGCAGCCCCTACTCAGGAACTGGACTGCTCTCTAGCCACATTGGACGTTGAAAAGAGAGAAATAGCTACAACTTCCATTTTTAAAAGAATATGGAAAAGACCTTTGAAATTCCTCCTGCCAAGGTTTGCAGATTCCACTGGACTCTCCTCAGTCCTTATTCTTGCTCACTGGCCTTTCACAGCATTTTAGCTTGTTGACCACACTTGTCCTCTAACAAGTAT